ACTGATCGCTGGGGAGGTAACTAATGGTAACTAATGGTAACTAATGGTAACTAATGGTAACTAATGGTAACTAATGGTAACTAATGGTAACTAATGTAACTAATGTAACTAACTCCCTCACTCCCTGTACCATGAAACTCTCCTGCTGGTTACTGATCGCTGGGGAGGTAATTAATGGTAATTAATGGTAACTAATGGTAACTAATGGTAACTAATGGTAACTAATGGTAACTAATGGTAACTAATGGTAACTAATGGTAACTAATGGTAACTAATGTAACTAACTCCCTCACTCCCTGTACCATGAAACTCTCCTGCTGGTTACTGACCGCTGGGGAGGTAATTAATGGTAACTAATGGTAACTAATGGTAACTAATGGTAACTAATGGTAACTAATGGTAACTAATGGTAACTAATGGTAACTAATGGTAACTAATGGTAATTAATGGTAACTAATGGTAACTAATGGTAACTAATGGTAACTAATGGTAACTAATGGTAACTAATGTAACTAATGTAACTAACTCCCTGTACCATGAAACTCTCCTGCTGGTTACTGATCGCTGGGGAGGACATCTCCGTTACTTTAGTACTGTTTAGTTTGTTTGAACCTTCTAACTGGTGTTGATTTGTCCGATTACGAAGAATCCAGAGAGCATATAAACTCAAAACTGGTACAATAATCGTCCCTAAAACCACATGGGTTCATTGTAACCAATGTGTAGTGGGTACAGTGGGGGCTGCCATATGTGTTGGTCATTTCTGACGTGCAAGTTTGAGTGCATTTTAGGTCATATTGTTAGCATTGAGTGGAATTATGATTTTTGAAAATTATTAACTGCTAATTAATTAACGTTAAAATTAATTATTGTTAATTACTTACTGTTAGTATTGTTTGCTAAATTGGTAACTGCTAATTAATTTACGTTAATTAATTACACTTAATTACTGTTAATTACTTACTGTTAGCATTGTTTGCTTGCTCCTCGCATATCCTCTCAGTCTGTCCTAACAGATTCTTCAGTTGTTGTAACCTTTCTTCCAGTCCTTTGATATCTCTCATTCCTGGATGATAACACTTTAGTTACCATGGTAACACTAATGATAACACTTTAAATTACAAATTAATCGAGAGATTTTTTATCTTTGATCTCTCAGAAATTTATTAAGATTACCTCGATAGCTTGAAGAGGTCTCATAAATTGTAGATCAACATGATGTCCACTGCCAATTCAAACATTACGAAGAATACCAAACGGTGAAATAACCAATATGAAATTGAAATAAAAAACAACTTGAAATAATTGAAATAAGACGACTTCGTGATAAAATGCAGCACAAACCTGGTGCCTGCAAGCTTTGTTTAACCTTAATACATTTCCTTAAATTATAATGGTAACAATGGTAACTAATGGTAACTAATGGTAACTAATGGTAACTAATGGTAACTAATGGTTACTAATGGTAACTTATGGTAACTAATTGTAACTAATGGTAACTAATGGTAACTAATGGTAACTAATGGTAACTAATGGTAACTAATGGTAACTAATGGTAACTAATGGTAACTAATGGTAACTAATGGTAACTAATGGTAACTAATGGTAACTAATGGTAACTAATGGTAACCTGGTGCCTGCAGGCTCTGTTTAACCTTGTCCACCTCCTCCTGTACACGGGGTAGGAAGGACAAGTTGATCTGATCCATGGCTCTACCACACTGGAGCACTAGCGAGTTAAGGGAGTTCTGGGAGTCTTGTGCTTCTATCCAGTGCAGCAAGGAGATAAACTCACTCTGTGAGGGAGCAGTGGGTAACGATATTATTTTATTTAAAAAACTTGATCAGAATATTCCAGAATTTTGGTACCAGTGAAGCTAACTGATAGTAACGCTCGAACCAAAAGAAATAAATTGTATAATGGTAACTAATGGTAACTGGTGATAACTAATGGTAACTAATGGTAACTATCCTACCTTCTTAGAGTCGAGTGTGTGGATATTAGGAGACTGCTGGAGATCAAGAGGGCTGTGTCCGGGGTCCGGGGCCCTCATACTCTCAGGATCCGGGGCCCTCATACTCTCTGTTATACCCAGTCCGTGTTCTTTAGAACACCTGATAACAATGGTTACCATGGTTACATCAAACAAGTAAGTAAGATTATATCATAGGTAGGTAATTATATGGAACCTAGGTAATTAAATGTGATTTAAGGTAATTATATGGTAATTATATGGTAATTATATGGTAATTATAGGTTATTATAATATGGTAATTATGGGTAATTAATAATTATATGGCACCTGATACTGTCGATCATCTTTGTGTCCTTCATCTGATCTACGATTCCTTTAGTAAGAGGTATCTGAGACAACACCTTCACATCTTCATCGAACTGGGTCAGCATAGTACCTGGTGGGTTGTTAAATAATGTTAATATGTTTAATAATATGTGCATAAAACTGTGCAAATATGTTGAATATGTGCATTAAACTGTATGAGTTGGTGAATATTGAGCTGGATTTGTTTTAAATGCTTTGATAGTAGAAATGAAGTAAAAAGGGGAAGAAGGTCTGATCAAATGAACTAGGTATACAAAATAACAATAGGAGGAAATAACAATGGACGTCACCTGTGGTGAAAGTGAAAGTGAAAGTGAAAGTGAAAGTGAAAGTGAAAGTGAAAGTGTTAAAGTGAAACTAACTGTAATCGTCTCTGTTCTTGAGGAATGTCTCGTACAGATCGTGGAATATTGCGACCCGTTTCTCAAACCCTACTGTGACCTGATCCAGATTATTGATAACAGCTGCCCAACCAGCTCGCTGTAACTCTTGATCCTGTACCTGTACAGGGGGTGAGTGAGTTGAAACACAAGGAAATATTCTTTAGTATAACACATGCCTCTAATTCTATTGTGCGAGGTAATTTGTAAAGCTCGACTTCTGGTGAAGGTTACCAATCAAATTTAAATCATATCAATACTCCGCAAGCAACCCGCCCTGGTGTATTAATACAATTGATAACGGAAAGGTATCAATGTAGATGCTATGCTTCGCTATCAATAAATTAATCAAATCGGTACTAATTGGTACAATTACGAGCTTAAATTAAATAAAACACCTCGAATAGAAACATACCAATTGGCGAGTTCGAGATAAAATGTTCTCAGAATACTTGTGGTAGTCCTTAGCAAGATCTGCTCCAAACTTTAGTGTTTCGCAAGTCTGGGAGTCTTTCAAGTACTTTTCTAAACGTTCCTGAACAAATAGGGTGTTTAGTGTTTCGCAAGTCTGGGAGTCTTTCAGGTACTTTTCTAAACGTTCCTGAACAAATAGGGTGTCCCGGGTGTTTAGTGTTTCGCAAGTCTGGGAGTCTTTCAGGTACTTTTCTAAACGTTCCTGAACAAATAGGGTGTTTAGTGTTTCGCAAGTCTGGGAGTCTTTCAGGTACTTTTCTAAACGTTCCTGAACAAATAGGGTCTTTAGTGTTTCGCAAGTCTGGGAGTCTTTCAGGTACTTTTCTAAACGTTCCTGAACAAATAGGGTGTTTAGTGTTTCGATAATCTGAGAGTCTTTCAGGTACTTTTCTTAACGTTCCTGAACAAATAGGGTCTTTAGTGTTTCGCAAGTCTGGGAGTCTTTCAGGTACTTTTCTAAACGTTCCTGAACAAATAGGGTGTTTAGTGTTTCGCAAGTATGGGAGTCTTTCAGGTACTTTTCCAAACGTTCCTGAACAAATAGGGTGTGTTCAGGGCATGTTCGCCATTCAGTTATTAATTATTATCAAGTTTTATTATCAAGAACTACTACTTATTATTAGTTATTAATTATTATTAATTAAATATCAATTAAATATCAATTAATATTTCAGTGATAACTAACCTGCAGGTTGTAGTCCTGTGGTAAAGCCACGTGGGGTTGAACAATGTGACACTCAATGTTACTCTTACTAAACAGGAAGACAGGCTGGTCGAGTGAGAATGAGGTGATGTAGTGGTACAGCTGCTGGGAGGCATCCAGCGCTCTGCCATCGTGTGTTAGCAGCACCTGCAACAAACTAGTTGGTAACTAATGGTTACTAATGGTTACTTATGCAAATGGTTACTAATGGTTACTTATGCAAATGGTTACTAATGGTAACTAATGGTAACTAATGGTTACTAACTTGGTACTATTCATTGGAACTGCAAGAGATTCAGTCAACACACAAAATAATTAAACCACTGCAGCCACCAAAACCCTCAAACGGAACACAAGGAAATATTTCTTCACTGACCTGTTTATCAAGAGGGATATCAGCAAGGTCGGAGAGGATGACCTGGAGGTCCTGAACCCTCTTGGAGATGACACTCTGGTCTAAGGGGAAGAGCTTGCCAGCGTCCACTAGGAACACGTTCATCTCGTCCTGGATTAGTGTTCACCTGCTGAACAGAATTGTTACAATATCTCAGACACTTCTGTCAAGATTACCTGCATTAAAGATTTGGATTATGGTGGAGAGACACGTGACAGCAATAAACCAATCAGCATCCACTTTTTACCCATCAAATTCACTGGTTCTAAAGTTCTAAGTTTGACGACCCTCAATTTTGTGCTGTCATCACTATTTATACGTCACTAATTGATGATATGATCATAATTGGGGGTCCCCCTTGGCCCCTTTGTCGGCCTGCCATCTTCTCCGCCAGAATCGACATCTATATGCACATCTATGTGTATCATTCAATCTAGACGAAAGTAAGGACAGCATTCATAATAAAATAATAATATAACTTACAAATACTCACGTAATATAGTTTGTTGTCTTCACACTCTGTTGAGGACTGTGAAACGTTTTATTTCATGGTTACCATAGTTACTCATCGGTCATAAAGTCTAGAGAGATAATTACATAATTGAAGTTAAGTAAACGACAATTTACGTACATCATTTTAAATAAAAATGAATGTATCATCGTACAGGAGCTGGTGGGGCATTTCCGAAATTAAAAACGATTATATAAATAATATCATAATATAATGAACAAAACAATTAATAAATTATATTCTGCAACAGCAACATGCTGTAAATTAAGTTATTCTAAATTAAGAAGTTTAAATAATACATCTCTGGTCAAATACCATTATTTAAAGACAACTTAATGTCGTTCGTCAACATAACAACTTTCAACAGAGCACGATGTATTATTTTGAACTAATTACACCACTACAAATCTATTACATTAAAGGAAAAAAATGTAATGTAACGTGATGGAAATATTTTAAACGGGCATATAGTCAAGGATCTGAAGACATTCCCGTCTATATATATGTATAACTTCCGCCCCGAGGTTTGAGACAATTTTGGCTATGGTGCAGTTTTGCGCAATTGACCACGCCCTTTTCGGCGCTTTCGCGACTTTAAAATCAAAATAACTCTGCTTTTAATTGGAATTAGAAGCTCAACTTGGCTTTGAAGTTGTTCAGAATCATCACATTTAGGGGGGGGGGGGGGGGCGGGGGGGGGGGGGGGGTAAAGCACAATTTTAAAGTCACCAGACATCAAGTTGTTGAGTTAAGTGACCACACCCTTTTTTGATCTCGCGAGTCGTTATTTTCACACTAAATAGGAGATATCTCGGCTTCTGATTGAGCTAAGTGCTCATCCTGGGCACTAAAATGTTCGGAATCATCATATTAACTAGGGTAGAGCACAATTTCAAAGTCCTCGGACGTCATGTTGTTGAGTTATTAGGCAAAAACCCACTTTTACACAGTCACGAGTAGCGATTGCAGCGCTTAAAATCAAAATTACTCAGCTTCTAATTAAAATTAGGAGCAAAATTCGGGCAGCAAAATCTCAAAATGTTCACAATTATCATATTGAGTGGGGTAGAGCATGGTTTCAAAGTCCTCAAACATCAGGTTGTTGAGGTTTTAGGCCAAACTCTATTTTTACGCTCTCGCGAGTAGCGATTACAGCGCTTAAAATGAAAATAACTCTGATTCTGATTAGAGTTAGGAGCTAAACTCGGGCAGCAAAATGTTCAAAATTAATAGGGTAGACTAGTATTTTTCTATCATAATGTAACCCATCTGACTTCCTCTTGTATTTCCGTTTGCCACTGTTTTTAGGACAATCATTTTTATGTTGTTCTTCATTCTGCACAATGTGATTTTCAGATTTAACCTCAAGAACACTTGAAAACTGCTGTTTGAGTTCGCTAGTCAATTCGGAGTCTTTTAGGACTTTAACATTCTGTGATATGATGGCTTCCACCGATTTTAAGTAATCTTCGAGAGGCATGTTTAAGAAATGTTTTTCGGTGACAAAACCGTGCCTTTCCACTATAGATTTATCAACTAAATTACCTACACTGTTTTTATGCCTAGATTTAAGATATGGTAAAAACCAAATGAGCCATGGTTCTTTGGGTGAATCAGGGTTTTCGAATTGGAAAAAGAGACGTAGAGCAGTGACAAAGCACCCCGCTATGATAAGTTCAACATTTACCATGGTTTGGTTTTCAGTCCTATAAAACATTTTGAAAAGTCCGACGCACAATAAATGGACATCATTAGCTGAGATTTCAAATTTAGTTCGAAGTCTATTGAACAGAGCTGCTAGAACACTAAAATAAAGCTTGAGTTTGGGTACATCATCTAAAATATCTGAAACAACTAGGACCCTTTCTTTCAAACTTTTTAACGTAGGTAGACTGCGAACTCGAAGTGAACTCCCCAGAAGCTTTTTTGGTTTGAAATACTCAGGCAACAATCGAGTTGTGTTGAAATAGCACAAAGTCCCATCACCTATCCAACTCAGGATATCACAACACAGCACCGGATAGTGTATAGAAAGTAGGAATAAATACAGGATAGCCAAGTTATCAAAAATACTGATCTTATAGATATCAGTCAAAACAACTCACAACTGGCTCCACTTTTGGCACGTTTACTGTCGTTTATAGTTCCGATCTTAGCAACGAACCGGAACCAGAGGTTTCCTACAATGTTTGTTAGCTGCTCCGGACTCCTTGACTGACGAGACCGTTGGTTTGGATCAAGAGGATTGCTTGTACGGCTTCTGTTACCGTCCATATTCTGTCTGGGATTCCAGTGGTTTTGGTGCTGTTCAAACCTTTGGCTACTCGCCTGCAACCATTTTGTATTCATTTATGACAAACGTTTTTGATATGTGTGCGATGTTATTTAACTAGACATTTGATGAGCGGGACTGATAACGGGATAAACAATTCTTCTCTCATGTTCACTTCATTTGCTCATTTGATAGAAAATCATCAAAAAGCAAATCACAAATTACACGATTAACAGCTGTATCTATCTGGATTACATCATGACCCCTAGTAACGTCTCTACCCCAACTCACCTGACACTAGCGTTATGTTGGGTGAATATTGTATCGTCCACCACCTCCTCTCTGATGTCCTGAGACTGGGTACCAGTCTCTAAACATTTTGCTGCCCGAATTTTGCTCCTAATCTTAATCAGAAGCCGAGTTATATTGATTTTAAGTGCTGTAATCGCTACTCACGAGAGAGTAAAAATAGGGTTTGGCCTAATAAATCAATAACCTGATGTCTGAGGACTTTGAAATTATGCTCTACCCCACTTGATATGATAATTGTGAACATCTTAATGCCCAAGTTTAGCTTCGAACTCCAATCAGAAGCCGAGTTATACTAATTTTAAGTGTAAAGTCGTTACTCGCGAGAGCTTAAAAATATAGTTTGTCCTAATAAATAAACAACCCGATTGTCTGTGGACTTTGAAATTATGCTCTACCCCACTCAATGAGATAATTTTGAGCATTTTTCTGCCCGAGTTTAGCTCCTAACTCTAATCAGAATCAGAGTTATTTTTATTTTAAGCGCTGTAATCGCTACTGACGAGAGCGTAAAAATAGGGTTTGGCCTAAAAACTCAACAACCTGATGTTTGAGGACTTTGAAATTATGCTCTACCCCCTTAAATGTGATAATTCTGAACACTTTAATGCCCAAGTTTAGCTCCTTACTCCGATCAGAAGCCCAGATATCTTGTATTAAGTGCGTCGATCACTACTCACGACAGCGTAAGAATAGGGTGACGCCTAATACCTCAACAACATGATGTCTGAGGACTTTGAAACCATGCTCTACCCCACTTAATATGATAATTGTGAACATTTTGTTGCCCGAATTTTGCTCCTAATTTTAATTAGAAGCTGAGTAATTTTGATTTTAAGCACTGCAATCGCTACTCGTGACTGCGTAAAAATAGGTTTTTGCCTAATAACTCAACAACATGACGTCCGAGGACTTTGAAATTGTGCTCTACCCTAGTCCCTAGTTAATATGATGATTCCGAACATTTTAGTGCCCAGGATGAGCACCTAGCTCAATCAGAAGCCGAGATATCTCGTATTTAGTGTGAAAATAACGACTCGCGAGATCAAAAAAGGGTGTGGTCACTTAACTCAACAACCTGAGGTCTGGTGACTTTAAAATTGTGCTCTACCCCCACCCCCCCCCCCCCCCCGCCCCCCCCTAAATGTGATGATTCTGAACAACTTCAAAGCCAAGTTGAGCGGAGTTATTTTGATTTTAAAGTCGCGAAAGCGCCAAAAAAGGGCGTGGTTAATTGCGCAAAACTGCACCATAGCCTAAATTTCTACCCGAGCCAAATTTGTTTGTAATGGTTCCCTTAAGCTATTCCAAGTCTCAAACCCCGGGGCAGAAGTTATATAGACGAGAATGTCTTCAGACCCATGACTAATATCATGTCCAAACCCAGGATGCACTACATGAAGAATTCGTTGTAACTTTGTTTGAAAAGCACTAATAGTCAATTAATAAATTTTCCCATGTGTCCATTATTTCATGTTTTACATCGCCGGGCCTTCACACCGTATAACAGTGAAACGTGAAAGGGAACTATAGACGAGTGAGACAGTATTGAACTTGCAACATTAGAGTTTATTAAATACCCTTGGAATAACGTTTTAACAAGTTGAGCCCCACAACCGGCGAGCCATGTGGTTACATTACCATATAAGGTAGTGTTGCTGTGGTTACATTACCATATAAGGTAGTGTTGCTATGGTTATATTACCAGCACGCTCACATCATGATGGAATCACAGTACTCTCGGTACTTCTGATCGTAAAGTTCTTTTTCCTTGTCCGTCATTTTAGACACGTGCTCTCCTTCAACCTCTGTCAGCGGCATGGACTTACCTGACAAGAGTCATATAAGGTAGTGTTGCTATGGTTACATTACCATATAAGGTAGTGTTGCTATGGTTACATTACCATATAAGGTAGTGTTGCTATGGTTACATTACCATATAAGGTAGTGTTGCTATGGTTACATTACCATATAAGGTAGTGTTGCTATGGTTACATTACCATATAAGGTAGTGTTGCTGTGGTTACATTACCATATAGTGTTGCTATGGTTGCTATGGTTATTGGTTATTGGCTAAAACAAGAATCCATGCCATCAAGACGAATATCAAATAAATAACACATGTAAATTGTTTGTAGTTAAACCAAAAGGAAAGTGCCACGAAGGGTCCATAACAAACGTCTACGTAGTGCAGCTCAAAAGTTTGAAGCGATCAATTAACTAATCACATCAGTAATGATGTAATTAACTGATTGAATGAGTAATTATGTAATTACCCTGAACAGTAACCAGCCACTCCTCATCTTCCTCTTCTTCGTCAGGAACTGGAGAGGAGGAACCACTTGTCGGAGCTGAAGATGTCGTCATCATCTCACTCTGCGGAGGAGAAATGCTTAAAATTATTTCGTAGGCCCTAAAATAACTCCTGCAGATCCAGTCTTAACCTTAAATTGAACATAACTCACTAGCTGAAAAAGCTCTGATACGTCAGATTATAACCTGCAAGACTGACCTCCAGCTCGCCATTTTTGAGATTCAAGCAAATCGAGGATGTTCAAAGGATGTAGGATGTTCAGCTCGACAAAATACCGGTGGAAGATATTTTGTAAAGTATAATCGTTAAAGAAGCGATTATCATCGCTGATTAAAAAAATCATTTTTTGGAAACTTGCCAACAATCTAACCTGTATTAGTTGTGAAATATAATCGTCCTTCAGCGCACTGACAGGGGTCTCCGTTCTGGAGACTTCAGCTCCAGTTAAACTATCATTAGAGTTAGTACTGTAGTTACTGTTTATTACTGTGCTCTCGGATAGCCAGATGGGGAGCTCCTTTTTCTGGGTTTCTGTCTTGTCGTTATCACCCGCAAGGTTTACCTTTATTGAATTTTCCTGTTGGAAGATAAATGTTACACTATAAAAGGAGATTTGTTTAAACTTATAATCATAAATAGTAAATAGTAAAATCATAACTGAATCATTGCTATAACGAAGTTGATCATCCACAACAAGTTTCTGCCATCTAATTTCAGGCTAGAGCATTCGACTTTTAGTAACCAAAGCTAAGCGGATCAGAAACACTTTTAAAAGAAACATTTTAAACAGAAACACTTATTTAGTGAAAGAGAAACACTTTAAACTCACCGCATAAAGGTTATATTCTTTACGGTTGTTCTGCCACAGAGGAATGTTTTTAGTTCGTTTTTCTGCTATTTTTAACTTTAGCGGCTCTGGCGCCAATAAATCCTCTGTAAAATGATGTAAGTTACATTTTTCAGAAGAATTATATCCAAAACACATATTCAGGGAACAGAACAAATAAAGGGTTATTTAAAATGAAGCTGGCAGAATGCCAGAATTATGGTAGGTTGCAGAAGTCTGAGTTATACATAATACATTTTTATAGGACCAATAATAATTCTCACCTGAAAGTTTGGTATTATCAGTTATTTTGAGGTATTCAGTAAATGATTTAGTCTGTTCGTTAAAGAGCGACACTGAACTCCTGTCTTGCAGAGTCTTTAACTGTGCCTGTGGAGAGCATTGTAACTCTTGGAGGTGGCAACATCGGTTCTTTGATGATAGTGTAAACGCGATAGCGTTAGCGATAACAAGTGCTGGATGGCATCATCCAGCGCTATCCAGCGTTAATTAGCGCTGGATGGCGCTAGCTATCGCGTTTACACTATCGCAAAAGACCCGAAACAGCTGAATCTTTTGTAGCATGACGATAAGATATATATATATATAAGATATTCGTGCACAACGTCAAAATTGAAAACAAACTGCCACTATATTACACACTATTACAATAGTAAATAACTTATCGTGAAACTTTGATTTCATTTTGGGATATTATGGGGGACATAAAGATGGGGGTTTTTTTTTGATTCCCCAAATTTCCCCAAAATTTCTCAACATTCTCCAAAATTCCCCAAAATTCCCTTAAAAATGACTTCTCAAATGACTTCTAAAATGACTTCCCCCAAGTTACCTCATCCTCAACTAGCTCAGTGTCGCAGTGCTGGCAGAGCAGTGTTCCTGTTTCCAGGTCTATAAGATCCTTTACATCTAGATCACTGAACCTGTGCATTTAGTAATTGATAATCTAGTAATTGATAATTAAGTAATCGATAATTAAGTAATTCATAATTTAGTAATTCATAATTTAGTAATTCATAATTTAGTAATTCATAATTTAGTAATTGATAATTTTGTAATTGACAAATTTAAAGATAATAGAGCACCTGTGGTTTCTAAAATTCATGTACTGAAATTCCATTTGAACGGAACCTCTTTACCTCAAACTAACCTCTTTACCTCAAACTAACCTCTTTACCCCAAACTAACCTCTTTACCTTAAACTAACCTCTTTACCTCAAACTAACCTCTTTACCTCAAACTAACCTCTTTACCTCAAACTAACCTCTTTACTTCAAATTAACCTCTTTACCCCAAATTTGGTAACTGTGATAACTAACCTAAGATAACTTGGTAACTATGGTAACTAACCTAAGATAACCTCAAACTTGGTAATTATGGTAACTAACCTAAGATCACCTAAACTTGGTAACTATGGTAACTAACTTGGTAACTATAAACTATGGTAACTACGGTAACTAACCTAAGATCACATGATTTACACAGGTGGAACTGACAATTCTGATGGAGCTGGTCGTCCTGATCTATCTTCTTTCTCATTCTGTCTAACTTGTACTTGACAACGTCAATAAATACTTTGTAGCTGGAACATAAAGCTGGTTAAGACTATAAAATAACTTTCAGTTCTATATCTTCCAATCGTAGTAAATTGGTGACAAAATGTATGTTAAATCATTTGATTAGCTACTTAATTATAATTGATAACATGGTACCGGTTAGTAACCAGATAATTATTATTAAATACAAGTTCTAAACAAGGAAGGGGTTAGTTAGAGACCACAGCCCAAGTCTAATATTTCCTCCTCCCCCCCCCCCCCCCCCCCCCCCAATATAAACCTGATAAAATAGTGATTGAACTTGACCCCCCAATATAAACCTGATAAAATAGTGATTGAACTTGACCCCCCAATATAAACCTGATAAAATAGTGATTGAACTTGAGTACGCCCCCGCCGGGCCCCAGTTCCTCTTTCTCTCCTTTAGTTATACTTTTTATCAACTTGTCTTTCCTTAGAGTTTCTAGACTTGCCCTCACCTGAGACACAAAAAGTGTTAAACTTTGACGAACATCAAGTACCTTTAAAAGCATTCGTTATAATATTTACCTTCACTGAATTTTACATGATTCTCAAAAAGAAGTCCGAATCTTATTTAATTAAATTCTGGAGAGATTTCATACATTTTAAAGCTCTAATACATGTCTGTACATGCTTTTCGAATAAAAGGGATATTCTCATGTACAAGTAGGATCACTGTGAAGACTAATCTAACACTCAGTTACAATGCCCCTTCAGATTCAGTTACTTCCTACTCCTAACTCCACAAATGTGTAAAGTGTAAACATTTCAACTCCAGATACAACTGTTTTAAACTATTTGCAACTGAAGATCATCAGATAACTTAGTAAAACCCCGATTTACCGTTTGGGGGAAAGGAAGCAACCGCGGTTAACCTCGGTCTTGTAACATTATGCATGTTAAGCCCCGCTTAGGGAAAGAAATAGCCGCGGTAGATCGGGATTTGCGGTAAATCTGGGTTCTACTGTTGCTACGAACATACTTCTCATTAAATTTTTTTTTGATAAAAAAAACGAACATGTTTCTTGTCGAATTTAAGAAGTTCGATGATGGTACGAACATGTTTCTTTTCGAATGAAAGAATTTAATTTTTGGTACGAACATGTTTCTTGTCGAATTTAAGAAGTTCAATGAGGTCGTCTTCTCTGATACACGGATGCTTGAGGAGAATATCAATGATGAGGGCCTCCTCAGCACGGTAAAACGTGTTGGCCACCATCTTTATCAGCTGCCTCATATCCTGCGTTATCTCTGGGAGGGTGGTTACCAGTTTACAGTTAGTGTAATATACATTATACATTATACGTAATCTGGGTAAAATTATCTTTAAAAAATCAGGACATTTTTTATGAAACACACTGTACATTGTTTTATTTGTGCTGATAATATCTGTTTTGGTCCAGCTTTTTAAAAAGTATTGTTTTTGACTATAATGTTTTTAATGATGGAGTGTACTTGGTTTTAAGAGGAAATACAAACATACTAAGATAAAATAATCTCAACAAACCTTTGAGGCCATCTTCAGAATCCACCTCCAAGTTACTCATGCTAAAACCTAACTTAAATCAGGGAGTTGTAAGAGAGGTTAATATAATTTTAGTACTTTAAATCAATTTAAAGTACTTTAAATCAATAATGCATTGGGATGGGATTGGGATCATGTATATTGTATAATCTAAGGAACAAAGTATATAGATAAAAGCGAAAAATACTTACAGTTACATTTATTTTTGTCAGTGAAATCGGGGAAAACATTGAAGCAAACGCGGGATAAAATATTTTTTCTGTCAAAATTACAATTAAATACGTAAAACAATCAAATTCAAAACAGCAAATATAACCAACTTAATCATTAATTAAGGATAAAGAGCTTGTGAACAAGCAGCAATGTCGAACCCCAATTAACCAGGTATTAGAAAAATTGAAGAAAATAGCAACGATGAACTAGTTGTAGTGATATGAAAGGTATTTCAACATTAAAGGTGAAAACGAATTCCGAAAAAAATCTGAAGCAAGGTTTAATACTTTAATACCAATACAATGGCCATAAATTTGCCAAATTTGCCATATTTAAAATTAGACTCGGAATTCGTCAAAATAAACAGTGGTTCAGTGGCAATACTGGGTAAAAATTAATGAAGACCTAAATGAAATACAGTATCTAATGGTTATCCGATACTTCACTCAATGCAAAATACAAATCTGATATGAAAATAATTGAAATTTAAACCAACTCAAGTTACTGCTGGTATAGTTCATATCATGATGATGTTTGGAATAACTCCGAACCAAGTTGTAACTCTTATTGTTTATTATTAATTATTATTATTCATTATTACTTATTAGTTTATAAATCAGAACACCGAAGACTAAAGTAATAATTCAGGACTATGGAAGCTGTGAGGCAGGGGAAGTCTCGCAATCTGACCTAACAACATCACATCATGGTATCATGCAGCACATCAGCCACTCGTGACAACAACAATAGTGTCACAGCAATATTACAACAGTGTCACAGCAACGTCACAGCAACGTCGTAACAGTGACAACCCTTTTCAAATCCTAATTTCTGGATGTTTTAAGGTTACCATTTCAATAATTCTTTATGGATTAAACTACAAATGCAATTCCAGCCAACAGGCTCTGAAAACTTGTCACAGCAGTGTCACAGCAATATTACAACAGTGTCACACCAGTGTCACACCAGTGTCACACCAGTGTCACACCAGTGTCACACCAGGCCAGTGTAACATCAGACTCTGAATATGTAGTTTTCCCCGTGAGTGACACTTCGTGCCCACTTGTAGGGAAGGTAATTCTGTCTTTGCTCTGTCACCTTCAGTTTCTGTAATATACATTATACATTATACATTATACATTATACATTATACATTATACATTATACCTTCAGTTTCTGAGGAGGAACAGAGTTCTTAGAGAAAATAAGAAACAGTTATTTTAATTGTAGTGGTGTAACAGAGATTGAAAATTTGACAAATATCTTACCACTTTGCAGTCTGCATATAATAAAACTGGAGGAAGTAACGTTGCAGATCAACGAATTATTAACTTAATTCTATAATACACATTACTTACTTTTATATTAATGTCACTACAGGTGTAACTCTGACACTCGAACAATATGGAAATAGGTCCGATATTGTTGGTTGGGTGTTCGGGCCACTCTCCGCTCGGTTTTACCTGATAGACCAGACTCAGTTAATTGTTAGTTACAATTAATTTTATTTCTAGCTTTATTTGAAATGAATTGTTAGTTACAATTCATTTTATTTCTAGCTTTATTTGAAATGAATTGTTAGTTACAATTCATTTTATTTCTAGTTTTATTTGAAATTAATTGTTAGTTACAATTCATTTTATTTCTAGTTTTATTTGAAATTAATTGTTAGTTACAATTCATTTTATTTCTAGCTTTATTTGAAATGAATTGTTAGTTACAATTCATTTTATTTCTAGTTTTATTTGAAAGCAAAGTATATCTAAAAGTATGATTCAAGTAAAAAAGGACTTGGAACAAGGTTCTTTTTTCCCAAAGGTCAACTTTAAATCCCAATAATGTTTTCTTGGGTAAATTTCTATTGATCCCGTTTGATGAGACATTCGAACACTCGTAATTAAACACAACAATAAATACTTGTTCTAAATAAATACCTAAACACAACAATAAATACCTCTTAATTAAACACAACTAAATTTTAAATAAATACCTAAACACAACATTAAATACCTTCAAAATGACATGTTTCTCATTCCCGCCGTCCATATGTGGGATCTGCCAGTGTATAACTCGTTTACAGGACACAGTCACATTTGTAGTCTTATCATTAGAGTGTACACTTGTTACATCGTACGGGAAGGGGATCGTTAGACCTATCACTGAACATCTGCAAATATTAGTTTCCTTAGTTAAGACCTATCACTGAACATCTGCAAATGTTAGTTTCCTTAGTTAAGACCTATCACTGAACATCTGCAAATGTTAGTTTTCTTAGTTAAGACCTATCACTGAACATCTGCAAATATTAGTTTTCTTAGTTAAGACCTATCACTGAACATCTGCAAATATTAGTTTCCTTAGTTAAGACCTATCACTGAACATCTGCAAATGTTAGTTTCCTTAGTTAAGACCTATCACTGAACATCTGCAAATGTTAGTTTTCTTAGTTAAGACCTATCACTGAACATCTTTAAATTTTAGTTTTCTTAGTTAAGACCTATCACTGTTTATTATACTGCATACGTCATCCAGCTTATTGTTTATTATAAAATGATAGTACCCCCCCCCCCCCCCCCCCCCCCCCACTATAACATAATAAAGGGGTCCAAAGTACTTCCTTACATATTCGTATTTATACGAATATCTTATTTATAAATAAGATTGGATGCACACGAAATACTATCCTCTACTTTTTACTGACGTTTTACTCTTAGTCAGATCCACAACAATATCATAATACCCGTTAAAATTAGAGACAAACACCACGGGAAGGGGATCGTTAGACCTATCACTGAACATCTGCAAATGTTAGTTTTCTTAGTTAAGACCTATCACTGAACATCTGCAAATGTTAGTTTTCTTAGTTAAGACCTATCACTGAACATCTGGAAATATTAGTTTTCTTAGTTAAGACCTATCACTGAACATCTCTAAATATTAGTTTTCTTAGTTAAGTTTCAACTCCATTCAACTGTTTATGTCTATTTACAACTGAAAATCATCAGATAACTTAGTAAAACCCCTATTTACCGCGGAGTTTGGGGGAAAGGAAGCAACCGCGGTAAACCGGGGTCTTGTAACATTATGCATGGAAATATTAGTTTTCTTAGTTAAGACCTATCACTGAACATCTGTTGATACATAGTACTTTTGTTGGTTCTATTTTTTCAAATGGGCGTTTTCTATAAATTATACATTTTTCACGGAATAAATTCATCAAGTATTAATACAAAAGGGAACTGTTGATAGTTGAGTATAACATAGTACTATGATAACATGATGTCTAGCTTTTTCAGCTCTCAACCCCTCATGTAATCCTTGAGCCGCGAGATTACCTGTAAACCTAACTGATTTCCAGCTTATTGTTTATTATACTGCATACGTCATCAAACAGCCCCACGAAAACCTCACCGAACCTCCACGCGGTGTGGGGTGGGTGGCTCGAACGGGAGGTGCATGGGTGTTTCTAACCTATGCAAAGGAAGGGACTAGCCATCTCTACAACAAAGGAAAGGCTCTAATAGCCTCTACTAACCTTAGAACCGCAGCATAACCGATTTTCCCACAGGCAAATTATATCATTATTATACTGCATAGTGCATACGTCATCAAACAATACCATACCTTAGTCTTAAAACCTTAAATATCTTAGTCTTGAAACCTTAAATACCTTAGTCTTGAATCCTTAAATACCTTAGTCTTGAAACCTTAAATACCTTAGTCTTGAATCCTTATATACCTTAGTCTTGAAACCTTAGATTGGATGCACACGAAATACTATCATCTACTTTTTACTGACGTTTTACTCCTAGTCAGATCCACAACAATATCATAATACTTGTTAAACTTAGAGACAAACACCACGTCACCGAAATTCTAAATTTAGCAGTTCTCTTTCAACCGGAAGAAGTCGGACACTAAAAGTCTTCATGGTAACGACACTGTAACCATGGTATTTAAAGAGTAGTGGGAAGGTAGTCTGATTGTTATGAAGTGTGGTAACTACACTGTTACCATGGTATTTAGTGTGTTGCTTGCACTTTGCACTGCATTCTTTAAGTCCGTGCTTTTATTTAATTTTTTTACAGTTTTTAAGGGGGGGGGGGGGGGGGGGGGGGGGGGTTCACACATTTTTTTGTGAAACTTGGTTTCGAGATAGCAGTTGACCAACAAACCAAGACCGGTGACCTAACTTTTGAGGGGGTCCCCGACCCTAACTGCCAAACGCCCATATTTGGTCCAAATTAGGCCCAATTTAACCAAATACCCTGAGCATGCCCAAAATCCAGATGCTCTACTTGTAGCTAGTGGTCCCCTGAACTCGTATATGAATTTTCATCAAGATTGGACAACCAAATATGGTCATATGGTTTTTGGCTCATAACTCAGTCATTTTTTGTCCAATCTTGATGAAAATTCATATACGAGTTTGGGCTTGTTCAGGGTATAATTTGGTTAAATTGGGCCTAATTTGGACCAAATATGGGCGTGGCTGCCCCGCATGCACCGTTTGGCGGTTGGGGTCCGGGACCCCCTCAAAAATTCGGTCACCGGTCCTAGTTTGTTGGTCAACTGCTATCTCGAAACCAAGTTTCACAAAAAAATCAGGGTGAACCACCCCCCCCCCCCCCCCCCCCCTTAACTTGTATAGTTTTTAACTTGTATAGTATCTAAAATTAAGATTCCAGTCGCTCCAAAAATGATTCCCGTCTGTTGCAATTGTACGCAAATCATCAAGTAAAAGATATCTTACATTTTACAATATAAATTGCAAATTCCGGTCATTCCGTTAACCTAATTAAGCGAGTAAAAAAATACATTCTAATTAAATAAATTAGCAGAAACTACGATGAAGTTTTGATATTAAGTTCTTTGTTTTGGGGAAAAATTAGACTTGGGCGTTGTTTTTTAACTATCTATATCCCTTGTTTAGAACTTTTATCTAATAAAATTTGTAGTCTAACAGAAACATGAAGGTGTTCATTTTACTGGTTGCAGTGTTCGCAGTCGTCTGTGTCAACGCTATTGAAGAGGAAGGTCGGTCCACTCTTTATTATACATCAATATTAATTATTTAATCAATTAATTAATTGATATAGTTGTCATTTTATTATTCGATAAACTTCATTTGTATCTCATTGCTAAGTAAATAAAATTGTAACTATTTGTCAATCGTGTAGAAATAAAATTTCTCTCATCTTACTATAGATAAAGCGAGACGATATATATACATTATATATATATAATATATGTTTATCCGTACCATTTTACTGACACCACGGCATCAACTTTAACGCGACTTTCCGAAAAAACCGTAAAAGAAACTTTTTTGACTGGGTCAAATGCTTTAATGCTTTTCAAATCAGCATTAAAAAATAAAATATTGGTCATGGAATAAGAATTTTAGTGCCAAAATTTGGACCCCCAAGAGGTGTCAAAAACGCGAATTAAATAGATAATAATTATTTTACTTTTAGTCTCGACACTATTTAAATTAGGGTTAGACGGTATCATGCTAATGACTGTAAAGTGTCTTTTAGTTACTTCCTTACAACTAAACGACATTTTAGCGATTAAGACTAACAGTGCTTGTGTTTCCAGACAATTTCCCTGAGCTCGAGGGTGAACTACCAGAGACCGTTGATTTAATGGAGGAGGAAGCTGCAGAGATGGAGATGGAAGAGAGGAGGGGAAGAAAAAAAACTGTCCGAAATTTAAAAGGCCAAGGGCAATAACTCGTACTGTTGATTAATAAAGAAAGATGCAGTATTGGACTGATTAGTGATTTTAACTAAATACGACATTTAAAGTTAAAGTTGCTGGATGACTAAGTTTTAGGGATAGTTTATAGATCAAAATTAAACATTACTAGACATTAGTATATATTTGTTATCACCCTGTCTTATTATCTAATTAAAATAGAAATAACCTTCAAATAATATAATAAAAATTGTGTTTATGATATGTGTATTGTGTAATCTTTTTTTCAATACTTGATAATTCGAATTTTTATTTTTGCTTCCAAAAGTCGAGCATTCATAAGTATAGCTATTAATTCGAGCATATGGCTTACCTGATCAATATCTCAAACACCAGCTGTTAAAAGCTTTTAAAAGCTGATTAGAGCCAGTTAAAAGTCTGATAAAAGCCTGTAGAGGGCCGCGTAACAACCGCTGAAGACTTTAACAATCGGAGCTGTGAACCATATCCGGGTACACTTTGTGTATTTTACACGTGCAAAATAAGAAACTGTATACAATCACACGTGTAGTAGGGTTGTGAAATGAATTACACGTGTAGTAGGGGTGTGAAATGAGTTACACGTGTAGTAGGGGTGTGAAATAAGTTACACGTGTAGTATGGGTGTGAAATGAGTTACACGTGTAGTAGGGGTGTGAAATGAGTTACACGTGTAGTAGGGGTGTGAAATAAGTTACACGTGTAGTAGGGGTGTAAAATGAGTTACACGTGTAGTAGGAGTGTGAAATGAGTTACACGTGTAGTAGGAGTGTGAAATGAGTTACACGTGTAGTAGGGGTGTGAAATGAGTTACACGTGTAGTAGGGGTGTGAAATGAGTTACACGTGTAGTAGGGGTGTGAAATGAATTACACGTTTGGTGTTAACGAGATCATTTGATAGTTGTTTAGTATTAATATAGATACTTTATCGGATTACATTTGGTCGGACATCACGTATAGTCAGTGGTGGAGGGTTTAGCCCTCACACAATGTCCAGCTAGAATATATTATGTTCAAAGAAATTGTTGTGTCCATAACTATATCCACTCCAAAATAATGTCCGTCCACGAATGTCCGTCCAGATAAGATCCGGTAAGTTCTCTCCTGTAACAACTGTTCGCTGGACAAGTTTCCTGTACAAAATAATCAAGCCCAACAAGATGTTCACCTTTTGTCAGTTTGGATGTTACGCTAGAGTTTAGTCGTCATAAACTTTCACTTTCACTTTCACTTTCACTTTCACTTTCACTTTCACTCACCTCTTGTTAGTGGGGATGTTACACTTGAGTTTTATCGTCATCACCACCTCTTTACAGTCGGGATCAGCAGATGAGGTTACTGACATACGGAAGGGGAGCGGGTTCTTCAGCTTATCTGAAACAATTAGCAATTTCGATTAAAACATTCCGCATAGAGGGTCCGCAGTAGTCACATTACCTTAGTTATATTGCTGTACAACTACTACTAAAACATTAATTAATATACTCACTGATCTAGACCCTCCCCCCAACCTGAAACAAATGCCAAGGTAATTAAGTAAAGAAGTAATTACGTAATTATACCGATTACCTCTGATAATGTAGGTAAAGATAACACATTCCCCAACGGGAGGTTTGAAGTGTAACGTTCTCTCTGAGCTGAACAACTCTCTGTTAACACATTTGTGGAAACAACACTCGTCCAGAACAATCGCTGAAATAAATAAATATTTATTTAATATTAATATTAATATTAATATTAATATTAATATTAATATTAATATTAATATTAATATTAATATTAAATAAATAATAAATATAATTCTTGGTGAGGGATTAGTTTCAAGTGATAGTGGATCAAGTCCTTCCTTAGATAAGCAATATGACGTAATTCAAATCAAATGTAACAAGAAGTTCGTGGAATCATCACTATCCTAGTCTCCTACGTGTTGATATCCCTTAAGTATACTACTTTCCCATGACGTCACACCACGTGCCATGACATCACACCACGTGCCATGACATCACACCACGTGTCATGACGTCACACTACGTGTCATGACGTCACACCACGTGTCATGACGTCACACCACGTGTCGTGACGCCACACCACGTGTCATGACCTCACACCAAGTGTCATGACGTCACACCACGTGTCATGACGCCACACCACGTGTCATGACGTCACACCACGTGTCATGACGTCACACTTACCTTTCTTTTTGTACTCGGGAGGTGTGCCCCCTACAAACAGATCTCTGTTTAACATTATCTTGAGGTCTGGGGCCCCATGAAGGAAGCTCTTCAGTCTGATAGAGCCGTGTATAGCTGCCGAGGAGATGTCACCGTCACGTTCCACCGTTATGTTCAACTTCTCTATCACATCTGGTGTGACAGTGTGTAAATAGTTAGTGGTTATACTGGACACCTCGTTAACCCAATCAATGTCTGGAAGACAGATCACCGTGAGACCCCGGATCTCATGGGGCCTAGTGGTTAGCCACCGTGGTTTGTGTGGGATTAAGAGCTACGAAGTGTTCAGTGAAGTTACACCAACTGTTACGCTGACTTTATTGATGGTGGAACCGCATGATACTGGTACTGATAATTAATCTATTAATGACGTGGTTAAACTTGATGGGTCGTTTGCGACCCGGACGAGTGCAAGTGGGTCGTATGCGACCGCAGTTAGGACACAGCGTCTAGCTCTGTTTGTGAACATCTGATTATCACGGGCTTTTCGCTAGCATTCAAGAAATCGTTTCCCGCAACTTTTGTCGCATAGCAACCGTGGCATTCATGACGTTTTAATGAAGGCCAGAAGTTAATTGGAATAATTTCCAGTTATCACGACTAAGTAACTAAATTATCTAATTGTTAGTTACTCATTAGGCCCATATTCCGAACTAAATAATGTAGCCTAATAGTTTTGAACATCCGTGCATAAAATTTTTGTAATCAAATATTTTGGTTTGTCATCCATAGCCTCTAGAAAAGATGCGTCGTCAACGACTCTATCGTCCCTAATGGTTTAATATCAATTGAGGATTGGGCACCGTTTCAGTATCATTGTTTCTTTAGTCTAAAACACCATGTACATTGTACTATAACATAATAAATGTATAATATAAGAGGTAAGTGTATTAATATACTGTAGACAGTTACACCGGCCACAGCTAAGTATGCCAAAAAAGGACCGGCCCCTCATTACATCACCAGAAATATAAGAATGGAGCGAATTGCGAGAGCTCAGATAGGATGAGCTTTCGCTCCATTCTTATATTTCTGGTCACGGAAATCCAATGGTTCCATCACGAGTCTGTTTACTTTGTAAATGAAACATAAGAAGTGTGAAACACAATGCTTGTGCTTGATATCCGATCCACTTTTATTTCAGTTCCTGATCAACGCATCAAGTTCCGTCAAACGAGTTACACTAACTCTTTTGTCTTCACACGCTGGCCACGTTTCTGTTTATCAAATTACGGACCACAGAAATATTCCGTGTTGGTTTCTTTATATCATTCACACGTAATATATAATATAATTGCGCGCCAGTGTGTTTGTTTGCTTTCAAAGTTCACTCGTTATTAACTCGTTATTCAGTAATTGTGTCGCTGTGTGTTTGCGTTGCTAATTGCTTTGTGCAATCCGAACATTCCCCTGTGATTTAGCTCGCATTTAACTCGATTTTTATTTCTGCATTTTTTTTACTCTTGCGCTATAATTTATTAATTACTAACGTTAGTTATGAAACTCTGAGTTTGATTATATTAATTTCCGCATTTTTTTAAATGTTTCACTATAATTACTATCGTTATTCGTTAGTTGTAATATTCATAGGGAGTTATTTAAATCATCCCTTAATTAAAATCGAATTCCTGAATTGATTATGGGATAAGTTATATAGATTTATTTTACCTTTCGTATCGATAGTTGAAATCCATATTCAGTGTAACTTACAATCCTATTTTAAGCCTCTCTTGAAAAAGAAGCAGTCCTGGTAACTAATGGAGTCGCGTGAATATGGTGAGGCAAAGAACCTTGATTATGAAAAAGATTATGAACTACGAGTACTTCATGAAGAAGAAGAATATACGACTCAAATTTGCGAACCAGCAGTTTGTGAAATTACAAGCTCACCTTCACCAGAATTAGAAAGATGTCCCGATAGCAGGGCAGTATGTCCTGCGACTCTTGAACATTATGTTGATTGCACTCCTGATTGGGAACCTGATTATGCAGTAAACTCTGCGACTCTTGATGAACCAGTTATAGAACGTTGTATTCCGAGAGAGAGTCAGTATGAAGAACCAGTATATTATAAGACTCAATCTTACGAGCTTTTGGAAGCAGTATGTCCTGCGATTCTTCAATATGATGAACCAGTAGAAAGTAGGACTCCAATTATGAAAAGAGCTGAACCAGTGGTTTATGAAATGACAAGAGAGATTCCTGAACCAGTGGTTTATGAAATAACAAGGGAGAGTCCTGAACCAGTGGTTTATGAAATCACAAGGGAACCTGAACCAAAAATATATTTAAAATCCGAGATTTTATCTGCAGTATGTTCTGCGACTCTTCGATATGATGAACCAGTAGATTATAAGACTCAATCTTACGAGCCTATATATAGAGTAGAACCTGCGACTTATCAGAGATACTTAGATCCAGAGGATATAGTACATCCTGAAGCTGATTTTGCAATCGACATACCCGAAAACGATGCAAATCGTCAAGAATACTCTGATAATGTCCAAGTGAAAATAGAGCGTGCGGTATGCCCTGCAACTCTTCATGCCATTCCTAACTTCATGCCTCTGTATAAATATGCTGATACTGACAGTAAGTATTTCGTAGCTGTTAAAGAGGGTCACCGTCGTAGGGACACTCATTTAAGACTGGAACATTTGCGCGAAGAATTCGGTTACTCTACAGATGAGGTTAACAAACAAGGAGAGGGCAAGTGGGGCCCTCTCCAACTAGCTGCTGCTTTTGGAGACGTAGACATTGTGGAGGAGCTGTGTAAGTACAGACGTATAGATCTAGTACAGCAGGATGATGATGACGATACGCCGCTCCATACTGCTGCTTATTGGGATTATGATAGCACGATTGAAATTATCTTGAACAGAGCTAAGGATCCAGATGAGGCGAGACTTGCTATAAATATGTCTAACAAAGCCAAGGAGACTCCATTTACTTTCGCCGCAACGCGCTATCATAAAAAATCATGTGCTATGATGATCAGGTACAGTCCTCCTCTTGCTTACACATTTCATTTCGTTCATCCTGGGCGGAATCCTGGCACGCACAATGTAGAAAAAGAAAAAGACAGTGGAATATTTGGAAAATTGCGAACGAAAGAGGCAGTGAAAAATTTTGAGAAAATGAATGAACACATTATTAAGTATCACCAGCGAAACGGTCAAGGCAAATCCTCTATCAATATCATGATAACTAAAATGCCAGAGTTGGTATTCGAAATCCTGGATAAATCGATAATCACAACTAAAACTGCTGTCCTCACTAAAAGTAGCAAAGGTTCTGAAAATAAGCATGAAGACATTCAGCGAGTCATCGTTGACTTCGGAGCATTGGAAAACTACGGCGAAGAGGAAAAGGAGGAGAAAAAGGAAACGAAAGACTCCGAAGTATTGGAAAAAAAAGATGAAAAGGAGCCTCTTGTGACTGTCAATGCGGAGAAGGAGGAGAAAAATACGAAGAAGAAGGAGAAAAGGGACAAGAAGGAGGAGGAGGAAACAGGAAAGCCTCTAACTTCGGGATATTATAAGCACGGTTCAAACCCGCTCCAGATCATGGCAAAGATGAATCATAGTCTTCTCACACATCCAGTGGTAGAAGCTTTGATCGTTACAAAGTGGGAAAAATTTGCCAGAACTTACTTCTACATTTTCACCTTCCTTCTTTACCTTATCTTCTTCTCTGTGCTGATGGGATATCAGTCCACTCAAATCAAACCATTTGAACTTTTGGAAAATGACAAAGCTATTACATCCTGGATTGAAAATTCTAGCCATACTTGTGATGAATTTCCCGATGGCTGCTCAAAGAAGAAATCTGGAGAGTGTGATATCTTTGGATACATACTTTTGGTGATGTCTGCTATTCGCCTATTTCTTGAGCTTCTGGATCTCCTCGATAATGTTTTCAATGGATCAGATCTTGATAGTGGAAGTAATAGCCCTCTTGAAACTGGCAGAGCGTGGTTGCAAGGTTTGATGAACTATCTTATTGACCCTGAGAACTATTTAGAGGTTATCTTATACGGCAGCTGTCTGTTTTTTTCTCTCAATGTGCTGGAACCGCAAAGTGTCATGTCCCCTTTTCATTGGAAGATTGGAGCTCTCTCCGTTCTAACCAGCTTTATTAACCTCCTCCTTCTTCTACAAGTATTCCCGAATATTGGAATATACATCATCATGTTCTTCAAAATAGCATGGACATTCGTCTCAAAGATATTATCCTTGCTAGTTTTCTTCTTGATCGCCTTTATGGTGGTATTCCACATGCTGTTGAGCCACACAAATGTTTTTAGGAAAATACTGTCCGCAGATGCTATCTTCAAGACCTTATCTGCGGGAGTATCTGGAGTCGAATACGACGATTACGCCGACCAAGAAATGATTTACCCAACAACAACGCTGGTGGGTCTCATTGCTTTCGCTCTGTTTGTCCAAGTTCTCTTCTTGAATCTTGCAACTGCTCTGGCAATAGGAGATGTGGATGCAATCCGAAGTGGAGCGGAAAAGGCCATCAATGCACTTAAAATCAAGCACATCTATAATGCAGAGAGAATAGTGAATCTCATACAGTGGGTCGCCAAACCCATCTATTGTGGAAGTGCTCTAAACTTTCTAGAACATCAGAAACGATTCCGAAACATGCCAGCAAAGAGATTTAAGGAAGATCGACTTGCATATATCCAAACATGTACAGAGAAATCAGAGAAATCAAAGCTATGTACAAAGAAATGCACAGGGAAATGCACAGAGAAATCTGAAGATTTGGTCATTCCATTTTCAGATTTTTATGAACAATTTTTTCATAAAAATTTGTAATATAACTGTTAAATGTCGTAGTAATCATAAATCAAGTATTGTTCTTTAAACTATATGGAGAATAAACTCACGATTTTAGGTTATTTGCACGTTTGGATCGAAGGAGATTTTACAACGGGTATACATTTCAACTAGAAGAATGTTTAATCCTTTATTTTTAGGATAGGAGGGAATAATAAACTGCACTATATTTGTGTTACCACTTATCAGTCTTTTACGATATTTTACAAGTTTTAGATTGTTTTAAAGTTGTTCAGTAATACAAGATGATAATAATCGCTTACTCGCTTTTGAGAAATGCATGTTGTTTTTAAAATAGTTACTTACAAATGTTTTTGCGTATTAGAATATGTGAATTGTGAATCTTTTATAACACTATTCATTAACTCTTAACCTATGTTTGCTTTGATCTACAATTTAAACGGAAATTACATGCCATGTCTAATGTCGATTGAACTAAAGTGTTAAATACATACAATCAGTCGCAATCGATCATCCCCATCCGAAAGTGACAAATATAAGATGAATTTCAATTGTAGCATGCAACGTGAACGTGAAGAGTATCGTTTTTAATTCAACATGACTGCTTTCTCCAAATTCATCGAAGGACAGAGAGGATCTCAACGGCTGGTGGACACGGACGGGTACATCTACTCCAGAAAGAAGCCTAAAGTCAAAGATACAGCCATCTACTCTGCTTGGCGATGCCGGAAGAATAACCCTTCTACCAAGTATGAATGGACAATAGTAAAAAAGAGGGATTTTAGAGTATGGTTTAGTATCCAACTTAATTATATAATATTATACAAGTTGTTAATGTTTCATCTCCAATACAAGCAGATGGTGTCTGGCTTGCTCTTCATGTGACCGATCCGGAGAAATGAACACATTTTTGTGGTGCAGACTGCAGACTCATTCACAGGTCCTTCGACTTCGATAATATCTCATGGATATTATTGGATTTTTAACGATATTTCCTTCCAATCCTGACAGCTTCAAAGCGTGGTTTCACTTCAATCTGTTGAAACAGTTCGTCTACTTTATCATATAGTTTCTCATCATCAGTCTCCTTTAAACCAAAGATGACAAGGCAACAGGATAAGAGACCTACTTCGGTCCTACTATCAGTTGTCATGGTAACTGTAACAAGATATTATCTACTACTACTTCTGTCCTCTTGATACAATACTCTGAACAACCTTTTTCAAGGTTATATTTATTTATAAAAGCAACTTCATTTATTACTCCTCATTAGCAGTGTTTCTGAGATCAGAATGGCAATACAGCGATACCAAAAATTTGTAAATCCGAGAAACTAATTATTGTTCGATTACCACCTATGACATGTAGTAGCATGTGTAGTAGCAGCAAACTACACAACTAACAGTAAACTTGCAGTGTATCAGGTGCCAAATAGCAATTATATCTATAGTGCCACATCTAACCGGCCCTAGCTTGCCAGAACTGACCTCAACCAGTCAGCCTGCCACAACTAGTCCTAACCAGCCAATAATAGTATTAACAAGATTCGTCTCAGGATAGTGTATAACAAGAATTGCGCCCGTTGTTTCGTTTTGGCGGACGCTAGATTTCCATTCACTATAACTATAAATATAATCCAATCAGCTCACTTCATAATAATAATATTGATACACATCAGTACACTATACTACGCATGCCACCTACATAAATTGGGCTTATTACCTAATACTATATAGTATATACTACATATTATACATTAAAATACAGTCGCGCCGCGCATTCATTGACAGGCTAGCTATATACATCATATCTCCGCAAGCAATACTCGCGCGCTGCACTGCGCGCTAGTTGACATGGTTACTAACGGAAGTACGTACCGACGACATATTTTAACCCACCTACAACGTTCTCCAAAATCCACGTTTTTCTGCAAAAACGTCCATTCGTAACCTTTCACTATTGCCTTTTTATAAATAAAAAGGGTGAACGGAAAAAATCACGTAAATATCAATAGCCCCCCCCCCCCCCCCCCCCCCCCCCTTCAACATCAATATCAATATCAATTCACCTAATGATATCGTTTAACCAAGCATTAAGCAGTCCCCTGACAGGGTCTACCTCCGCAAACCAACAAACCTATAAATATCTCGTTTCGTTCCTCCGTCTGTTTCTGAGCTCCAATAGCCAGTGGTTTGGTGGCAGCGTTACTGCTTATCTGCATCTGTGGGAGTTAACGTCCGCTCATGAGAGGACAACAATTTAACAAGCAGTTAAAGTTAGATAATATCTTGTTACAGTTACCATGACAACTGATAATTATATCTTGTTACGGTTACCATGACAACAGATAATATCTTGTTGCGGTTAACATGACAACTGATATTATTTTCATGGTAACCGTAACAAGTTAATATCAATTGTCCTAGTTATCATAACAAGATTTGTTCAGTTGTCAATATTATAAAAGTAACAAAATATTATCGGTTGAGTGAACATAGCAGCTGTATCTATACTAGATATATCAACTTTATCAGTTTTCATGGTCACCGTAATAAAATATTGTCTGTTTTCACGGCAGCAGTATCTAGATATTATCAGTTGTCAAGGTAACTGTATCTAGATACTATCAGTTGTCAAGGTAACTGTATCTAGATACTATCAGTTATCAAGGTAACTGTATCTAGATATTATCAGTTGTCAAGGTAACTGTATCTAGATACTATCAGTTGTCAAGGTAACTGTATCTAGATACTATCAGTTGTCAAGGTAACTGTATCTAGATACTATCAGTTGTCAAGGTAACTAGATATTATCAGCGTAATATAACTGCACCATGTATCACCTGATTCAGAAAGTTTAGTCCCAGGTCGAATATGGCGTCTGGAGAGAAGCCCACTTCTTCCTTGATGTTGTGTACCACCACAGGTTCGTAGTGAACTGTAATAGAACGGCAAATGAAGTGTGGAGAACGAAGGAGGGGGGGGGAGGGGGCTCCTTAAGTGGAGGTAGTGTTATTGACAGGGGGGCTTCTTAAGTGGAGGTAGTCTTATTGACAGATTTACACTGCAGGGGATGTGAAACAAACTAACCTAACGTTCTCAGATCTGAGGTGTTCAAACACTGAAAGATCCCAAAGTCAAGATTCTCCTCCAGTAGTTCGTGGACTAAGAACAGGTTGGCTCGAATGGCTTTGACGTTGAGAGTGCCACAGTAATCTTTTATTATCTCTGAGATTAGGTTAATTAATTTAATCAGGAGTATTAATAAACTGGGACAGTATTGATTGAAGAAATTCTCCGAAAAAATGCCTGTTTCCTGATCACAGATAGAAATTAGAAATAATTCCAACAAACGAGGGACAAGAGTAGGCCCATCAGAGTTGGAATGGCCTGACGTCACACCACGTGTCATGACGTCACACTGTATTATGAAGTGCTTATCTCGTATAGGGGGGGGGGGTTATCGTGAGTATTTTTAAGAGTCCCGACGAAAATGGCAAAATTCTCATTCTCAAAAAAAAATTTGAGCCAGAGAGTGTGCATCTCCAGTTGAAGCTGCTTGTTGACAGACCGACTTGTCACTTGCATCAGACCGGATTTGAACCCGGGACCTTCTGCATAACACCATCCAGCCGAAAGAATCCCAACATACCGGATAATAAATGGAGATACCTGCTAACTCACAAACCTGCTATTCTGCCGAGAGACTCTATAACATAAAGTGGGGAGAGGTCCGGTTCAGCTAGTACCACCACACAGTAAAGCCCACTACTGAACACAGACACATACGTCTTCTTACCTGGGGGGTAGAAGGGCTCATTAAAATAGCGTGCCTGACAGAATGGAATTATTAGACAGCCATTCCTGCCACTAATAACAGTCAGAAAATTTGAATTTTGATGAGGATACTATCTAGCAACAACAGCAGATACTTATGTGTGAATGATTAACGATATGAGTGGTATGACGTCACACCACGTGTCATGACGTCACACCACGTGACATGACGTCACACCACGTGTCATGACGTCACACCATGTGTCATGACGTCACGTATTGAAACTTACCAATAACAAGAACTGGAGGTATCCTACTGACACCCTTCTTCTTGATTACATCTATAAAATCCTCTGTAACAGTTCGTGTGAACTGTTGTCTGAAGTCTTTAAACACAATAACCTCTCCTATAGAGGACAACACGAAGAATACTGAGATCATCCCTTACAGAATATCATGGTTAATGTTGTTAGTTATTTATGTTTTAGTTAATGTTTTTAGTTTAAAGTTAATATTGTAGTTAATTGTTAATTATCTTATAACTAATTAAATTGAAATTAAGAAAGAAAAGAACCTCGCGAAATCAAATGTTACTTGTCCAGCAATGAGATATTGGGTTTGAAGGTATTAATCAATAATACACAAAATTTCATGACGTCACACCACGTGACATGACGTCACATCACGTGACATGACGTCACACCACGTGACATGACGTCACACCACGTGTGTAATCAATAATACACAAAATGGGATGTAACAATATTCTTTACAATAACATTACGATTAAATCAATTTCGAAAATAAATGAAAATGTTTAGCTTCCCATCAATTAAATAGTGCGAATAAACGGAGCCAATATTTCTGCTAAAATTAATAGAATATATAATAGAATCAATATTATTTTACTTCTCGGACATTAACAGGAAACAACTGGGTGATGACTCTGATGCCTAGTATCTCTCCACGTGTCATGACGTCAAACCACGTGTCATGACGTCACACCACGTGTCATGACGCCAAACCACGTGTCATGACGTCACACCACGTGTCATGACGTCACATCACGTTTTAACAGGACACTGGGTGATGACTCTGATGCCTAGTATCTCAATCTAATGTCGTCAAATTTTCACAAACCATAAAGCATTATAGAATAAACATGGTGGGCAACACGGAAATCAACATTAGGAACAGTACAGATTTGGAAATTAATTTTAAATACTTTATAACAAACACATGTTATATTCATAGTAACATAAAACATAACAAACTTGTTGAGATTTTATATTGAACATTGGTTCTTGGTTATCATGTCACAGATTGACAAGCCGGATCTAAGTAGAAAAGAACAAAATAACAACAATGATCATGACAATCAACAACACCCCGATGATAATGTTTTGTTTCTTCCCGTCCACTTTCTCCAGAATCTTATCCATTTTCCGCTGCACATTTGACATCCTCTTCTCGGTTTGGCCCATGTCTCCGTAGAACTCGTCTAGCAGCTGGTTCTGGTCTTCTACTTCGTCACCTGGCGGAAATATGTTGGGTAACATTTATCAAATATGTCACCTGGCCGAAATACGTTGGGTAACATTCATTATATATATATAATACTGGGGGCCGTGGTCACCGGGGGAAAGCGGTATATATATATCTATATAAAATTTATTTGAATTTTGAAATAAATTATATATTATATATAAACTATTATATTTTATGTCTTGATCTCTTACTTTCTAGGATCTGTTTTTTTCTTGATTGATTATGACACTGTACTAACCTTTATTATACCTAAATGTATTGTATGGGTTCTGCTTCTTTTTAGTTTAGTGTGGTTTACAATAAAAGTTGTTTTAATTTTGTCTTTGCCTTATGATGAGTTATACTTTAGTTCACTTTTACACATTTGCTCACATCACTCACAGTCAGCTGCTCTGACATGGTTAACCACCTTCCTTGTGTTGTTGGTTAATCATATGAGCGGGATACAAATACCTCATTTCATTTCATTTCATTTCATTTCATTTCATTTCATTTCATTTCATTTCATTTCATTTCATTTCATTTCATTTCATTTCATTTCATTTCATTTCATTTCATTTCATTTCATTTCATTTCATTTCATTTCATTTCATTTCATTTCATTTTATTTCATTTCATTTCATTTCATATAATATATACTGATGAGAATCCTGAACATAGACATTCAAAACATCGATAGTGTCATCTTCATCTTTCATAACGAAAAGTAATCCTATATTAACAAGAGTATTGGTTACTAACCTATCAAAGTGCCAATCTCTTTTAACCTGCCAATACTTTTACCCACAATGTCCATCTGTTCGTCCTGCTGCTGCATTATCTGCTGCTGCTCTCCCATAGACTTCTCTATGAACACCTGAGAGTAGAAAGTAGTGGAAAAGATAGACTTTTTATCAGAGATTTCTTAAAAAAGAAGCTCGGAACTGAAGCATGTAAACTGTAAAGGTGTGACGTCATGACACGTGGTGTGACGGCATGACACGTGGTGTGACGTCATGACACGTGGTGTGACGTCATGACACGTGGTGTGACGTCATGACACGTGGTGTGACGTCATGACACGTGGTGTGACGTCATGACACGCGGTGTGACGTCATGACGGGAACCGGTCACTGCGGCGGAAGTCACTGCGGCGGTGGACGGTACAGCGGAGGACGGTACAGCGGAGGACGGTACGGCGGTAGTTTCCAAAAAGGTTGGACGGTACGGCGGATCACATGACACCCACTTTACTTTGGACAGTACGGCGGTACTACTACTAGAAACTGTACCTAAGACAGAACTTACACATTCAACTTGTTTCTAAGTTTTGTTCTAGATTCGCATTATAAGTTTTATTTTTTATTTTCTCTTTATCATTTTGTATAATTCTTGTTAGTTTAGTTGTTCATTTTTTTATTCAGGGCTTTGCAGACAATGTAAATCGAGAATATTGATTCTCGAAGTTGTTCGTTCTGTTCATGTGGAAGTGGGTCCGATCGTAAGCGTTCCAGAAGAGTGGAGGGAACTTTGCTCGTCCAGTACCAGGGGAGGTGGTGACTTGGGGTCCATAAATTTAACAATACAAGATGATAAACCAAAAAAAAACAACTGGGGTAGGTAGGTAGCCCTGGTGGGTGCGTAAACTTTACGGTCTGCTCTCTCCAAGATCAGCCATTGCATCTCGGCGCAGTGATATGAGATCTCACCGTAACAAGCTCATCGTGCACTCGCTTAACCACCGTTGTGCAGACCGGACGCGATCTGATACGAACCAGAAAGTGGAACAAGAACTGCTCTTAGTAATCACAATGTATACAGGGTGAGTTGAAAAGAGATGAGCCAGACAAAATTTTGAAATAGGCCTTTTAAAAATTTTTATTCGATTTTGAAAATCGTCGACCTCAAAAAATTATCAAAAAACGAGGTCCAAGATTTTCAAAATCGAATAAAAATTGTTTGAAGGCCTATCTCAAAATTCTATCTGGCTCATCTCTTCTAAATGATCCTTAGAACATATACTGAAAGTTTCAGGGTGATTGCTCAAAAAATGTAGGAGAAAATAGATTTTTAGACTCGATTTTCAGGGCACGCGATCAAAAATCGCTCGCGCAATACAATTACCACACACGCGCTGACCTTTGGCCGGCAATAATTTCGGCTAGAAACGATATTTTTCCACGGCATCAAAAGCATCTGATAGATATTACTCTCCTCTATCAGAAACAACTAACTGAAAAGTCGATTTTGAGAAAATTTCCATGAAGACCCCCCTGCCCCCATAATACAGTCAAGTCGGCTATAGACAATTGTCTTACACGTTATCAATATGTCCTAGCTAATAAAGGACGATGGGTTGAGCAAATTATTAATTATTAAGTATTTTAATTGTATTATTATAAAAAGTATATATTTTCATTACCTAAATATGCAAAAATTAAGTGGAAATTTCATTTGTCAAAAAAAATAGAGCCATTTACTTTCCACACACTATTTTCAACTCACCCTGTATGTTAAACTTTATCCAATTTAATTTTAATTTAATTTAATTTCGAAGTAACAAAGAGGAAAATAGAACTTTTTATAGCTAATCGATTTTGTTATATTAGCAGTGCTAGGTCTATCTTATAGGTACAGTTTCTAGAAGTAGTAGTAGTACCGCCGTACTGCCAAAGTAAAGTGGGTGTCATGTGATCCGCCGCACCGTCCAACCTTTTTGGAAACTACCGCCGTACCGTCCTCCGCTGTACCGTCCTCCGCTGTACCGTCCACCGCCGCAGTGACTTCCGCCGCTGCGTCCTATACCCGTCATGACACGTGGGTTAAAGAGTAGATACCTCGTTACTTCTGTTAGCAGATTGTTGTGCAGCAGAGTACCGATCTACATTCTGCTGAAAAATACGTGTCTGAATCTAGGGTTGAATTCAAATGTTGACATCTTGCGATGCCAATTTACACGATTTCTTGATATATTTGAGGGATAGTTTTACAGGTTTTAGTTTGAACAATTCAAAAGGGTAGTTCACATTTTACGTAGTTATTGGGGGAGGGAGGGGGTTTTCTAAATGATTACGCTTGTCACTGGAGTTTTTTAACACAGTGGCTATGTATAAACTGATTACAGCTCAGAGGGGGTTAAAAATTGGCCAACATGTGGACGACCCCTAGCCCCCCCCCCCCCCCCAAGAACGTAGCGGTGATTTTACCGATGGGCCAGCGTCCCCGAACTTAGGATTGTTCAGCTGATCTCTAGCTCTGCTACATTGCTCCCGAGACATTTGGATAAATCTCTTCCTGTTCATTATCTCGTCCTGTGATATGTTGAACCTGAAACAGTAGTCAACATTAAGTTTTACATCAGAGGTGATCAAATACATGACCTGAAAGTTACTAATTCCTGTTATTAGTAATTTTAATTACTATTGAATACAACCGCTGCTACACTGCCAAATCTCCCATGATATGAAATAACACTTTCAGAACGAATCTAGCTATTTTCCCTGCAGCGCGCATGTTAAGGCGCGCAAAGGCAAACAACTATTGCAGCGCGCGTTACGTTTTGTGACTAAAATCTAAATGCCCCATTTTTGGCGCATTTAGTTTCATAGAACTGGACCTCAAAGTATTCTGCGGTGTGTTTAGTGCTAAATGACTGAGTCAATTAATGGAGTACGTAATAATAACATTTCTATTATGATGGCTAATTATGAAGTTGCAGTTTTCTGTGCACACCTGCTTGTACAGAGAGGACCTGCATAGAAAAACAAAAATAACAAAGAAAGTATTCAAAAACAGGCTACCTGTGTCTGTCACTCTCTATTGACTGTACTGCTTCCTCCAGATCTAATATATCATTCAGTGCTCCATCCAGCAGAGACAAAATTTTAGCTGTAAATGAGTATTGTAAAGGGACAAAAGTAAAAGCTGCTTATGATGTATTTTGGATGAAATAATGGTTGGACTAAAGTTTAACCTTAACACTTGAAAGTGAAAGCTAACATTTAACAGAGTTTCTCTCTTGTATAGCCACACTAGAAGTGAAAGTGAAAGCTAAAATTTAACAGAGTTTCTCTCTTGTATAGCCACACTAGAATTGAAAGTGAAAGCTAACATTTAACAGAGTTTCTCTCTTGTATAGCCACACTAGAAGTGAAAGTGAAAGCTAACATTTAACAGAGTTTCTCTCTTGTATAGCCACACTAGAAGTGAAAGTGAAAGCTAACATTTAACAGAGTTTCTCTCTTGTATAGCCACACTAGAAGTCCCACTGGCTAACTTCTTCCACCTCTCCAAGTTCTTGTTGATGTCAGCTATAGCAGCTTCTGTTTCTTCCTTCACTATCTCAAACGGGTCCTCCATAATATCCTGTCTCCTCGGGGCTAGGTCTGAAACTGATCGACTAGTTTAATATATTGGTAACGAACAATTAATAATCAACAACTAATTACTACCTTACAATTATTCATATTATATCTTTAAGTCGGTGTAAACTGGATGGTTTAAATACTACACCAAGATTATGTTACACCTAGTGGTCCTAGTACACTATAAACAACAGTGTAAGAATTAACTAATTTCTCTAGAAGTTGGTTCGCGACTTTAAATTACCTATGCTATGAGATCTTATGGTTACAGCTGCTTCTAACTTTCAATACTTAAACGTTCTTGTTTACTTTTCAACCTCCTTCAATCGGCTTTCTTCATCATATTCCTAGAAAATGTGTTAAAATCAGATGCATTTTTCTAAAATTTAATAATTTTTTGGATAAAAATATAATTTACTTTATATAATTGCTCTTCAGTTTTCATGCATCATGAATTTTAGCAACAATCTGTTATTTATGTCGTATGATTTATGATTTTATAGATTGAATTGAACTAAATCAGATACGAATCATAATCACTTTTTGAGTGAATACACAACAGTTCAAAACGGTTTAAAGTTTCAACTTCCACACTTCTTGTAGGTATACAAAAATATTGAATATTCGCAAATTCCGGGGATGAGTATCGTTTAGTTTGGGTCAATAATATACAATAAAAACGTATAATGAAAATGCGTTGCCCTAACAATAGTTAACTATAACATGTGACTTCAATATCTAATAAATTAATCGTATCCGTGACCCAGGATCATTCTTTTTGTGCTGGATCAGATATTATGTCTGCATCTGTGTCAGATATCAGGTGAGGATCAGATAGCAGGTCAGGATCAGATATCAAGTTAGGATCAGATATCAGGTCAGGATCAGATATCATGTTAGGATCAGATATCAGGTCAGTATCAGATATCATATCAACATCTTGGTCAGTTTTGGGAGGCAGGACTGGATCACCGTCCTCCAGATACCACCTTTTATAATCTGACAAGGTATTACAGTGTTACATGATGTTATATACTCACGTAAACTAACTCAAAGTAAGTAACAATCATATCACGTACAACCTAATTAGTCAAGGAATATTTTCTTACTTTTGTAGAAAGGAAATTATTCTACAGAAAACATTTACACACCAAGCCAATTTTAACCGGTCATATCTCAACTTTTGTAACATGATCAGCTTCTCACCATCAATATCATCTTTCCAGGTGTCTCCGATAGGTTTAACAGGTTTAGGTTTTAACCTCTCTAACGTATACTTCTCCAGGTATGGCTCTAATTGCTCCTCGTAGGTCTGGGGCTTGTATTTCTGGGGGAACATTTAATCAGTTATTGCTCCTCGTAGGTCTGGGGCTTGTATTTCTGGGGGAACATTTAATCAGTTATTGCTCCTCGTAGGTCTTGGGCTTGTATTTCTGGGGGAACATTTAATCAGTTATTGCTCCTCGTAGGTCTGGGGCTTGTATTTCTGGGGGAACATTTAATCAGTTATTGCTCCTCGTAGGTCTGGGGCTTGTATTTCTGGGGGAACATTTAATCAGTTATTGCTCCTCGTAGGTCTTGGGCTTGTATTTCTGGGGGAACATTTAATCAGTTATTACTCCTCGTAGGTCTGGGGCTTGTATTTCTGGGGGAACATTTAATCAGTTATTGCTCCTCGTAGGTTCGGGGCTTGTATTTCTGGGGGAACATTTAATCAGTTATTGCTCCTCGTAGGTCTGGGGCTTGTATTTCTGGGGGAACATTTAATCAGTTATTGCTCCTCGTAGGTTCGGGGCTTGTATTTCTGGGGGAACATTTAATCAGTCATTGCTCCTCGTAGGTCTGGGGCTTGTATTTCTGGGGGAACATTTAATCAGTTATTGCTCCTCGTAGGTTCGGGGTTTGTATTTCTGGGGGAACATTTAATCAGTTATTGCTCCTCGTAGGTATGGGGCTTGTATTTCTGGGGGAACATTAATCAGTTATTGCTCCTCGTAGGTTCGGGGCTTGTATTTCTGGGGGAACATTTAATCAGTTATTGCTCCTCGTAGGTATTGGGCTTGTATTTCTGGGGGAACATTTAATCAGTTATTGCTCCTCGTAGGTTCGGGGCTTGTATTTCTGGGGGAACATTTAATCAGTCATTGCTCCTCGTAGGTCTGGGGCTTGTATTTCTGGGGGAACATTTAATCAGTTATTGCTCCTCGTAGGTTCGGGGTTTGTATTTCTGGGGGAACATTTAATCAGTTATTGCTCCTCGTAGGTATGGGGCTTGTATTTCTGGGGGAACATTAATCAGTTATTGCTCCTCGTAGGTCTGGGGCTTGTATATCTGGGGGAACATTTAATCAGTTATTGCTCCTCGTAGGTTCGGGGTTTGTATTTCTGGGGGAACATTTAATCAGTTATTGCTCCTCGTAGGTATTGGGCTTGTATTTCTGGGGGAACATTTAATCAGTTATTGCTCCTGGTAGGTCTGGGGCTTGTATTTCTGGGGGAACATTTAATCAGTTATATATAAAATTCAAAGAATTTGAAGTATTATGAAAGATTCAATTTTCTTGTTATTGGTTGAATAAACGCTTCAAGGGCAGAAATTAAAAGTGCTGCTAACAATTTCTCGCTGCATGGCAGTAACAAGCTTTACATTACTTTTTTTACTTTAGGCGTTATTCTCACATTATGTCGATATAAAGCTTTAAATTGTTTAAATTACTAACCAGATAAGTTTCTTCTACTTTCCTCTGGAATGTCATTCCCGCTATTTTCTCTTTCATATGTGTCTGTAACTCTTCTGTAGCCAATTTCACCTTAAATATATTATAATCAATAAAATAATACGTATAACATTTCACTGCTTTGTTATTATGGCGTCACATATTTCACATATTTTAGATATTTCGCATATTTCACATATTTCGCATAATTCACATATTTCGCATATAATTCACAAGATCCTCCTCTGAGAATTACTAGATTTCTACCAAAGAGCTCAACTAACAACGTTTTGGGAACACAGATACAGAGTAAGTATAACTTACTCTGCTAAAATTACTAAAATCACCAATTTCTAATATTACAAACTACTCAAATTACAAATTATTAAAATTACTAAAATGACAGATTACTAAGATTACCTTTGCGTAGCACACTTCACACATGAAGTAGACTCTGCGCGGTGCACCGCAGTCAGTACACGTTGTGTAGGGGATATCTTCCGGGATCTAAAATTAGTGCACGTTTAGGTTATTCAGTTATCCTATTAGTTTTCCTAATTTTATTTTAATTTACATCTATTGGAACTTGCTAATCTTATCTTTATTAGTAAATCCTATACGGATGGTTATTGGTTAAATGATTATCTTACTACTAATTTACAACTGAGAAAAATGTTCACAAATAATTGTACCTTACAGGGTTTATTTCTTTACAGACTTGTCATGACGTCACACCACGTGACATGACGTCACACCACGTGACATGACGTCACACCACGTGACATGATGTTCACAATTAATTGTACCTTCCAGGGTTTATTTCTTTCGATCCGCTTCATCTTTACAGATTTCTTCCTCTTCGGTGCATAGCCCATCAGCAACATACCACAATCGTTGAAATCAACGCTATCACATGTTGCATCATGGTCAGATACGTGATCTACTACTAAATCTGAAATTGCAGTTAGTAATAAGTAGATAATCAAATAAGAATATCAACCAAACGATGGAATAATGTACTGCTTGAATAGAGTAATTCAAGATGTATGTTTCAATAGGCACAATGACAGATAAGGGAACGTATTGATAAATTTCTAGTACGGACTTTTCCGAACGAAAACGTTTAAACCAACCTAGACAGGGTAGAGGATGAGCAATAAGAGCTGGAGCAAAAGCAACCATTTCTTGAAAAAACAGATCCAGTCTTTGGGATAGGAGTCGTAACATTATCTGATCGTGCCCTATATTATGATGGAAAATAATTATTGTAAAAAACGTTTTAATTGTAGATGGATATCTGTGATTGAGATTCAACAAATAAACCATAATTAAAATTCGTCATCTACAATAGGACAATAAAGCGATTGATTCACATTCCACAAATACGCTTCAAGCAAAGGCCAATTCAGGTAGATTTATTTTCAGTAATTCAGTAATTCATGCAGATCATGTAACTGCAATGGTATTTTGACATAGTGATATAATGGAATAAATCAAAGAATAAAATGCAGGAGTTCTGGTTTAATAATAAAACAAATATTTATTTTTACGGCACAATCAAACAATATCAATAATAAATAAATCAGGGGAGGTTTGAGGAGGTTTCAAGTGCCGAAGGCCACTGCTTATCTTTAGGATTTGAGAGTGACCTGTGCTTGAAACCCCCTCAACCATCCACTACGTCAATATAAAACTTATTATACAAATATAGAAAAATATAATTATCTAAGCTAAAATTGCTTATTGGTCTAGTTTGGTGACATAGGAGAGCCCAGTTGAGTTTTAGTTTAGGTTTATGTTTTAAATCATAGTTTGAAAGGTTAGCCATGTTTCATGGCAGAGAGAGATATCATGTGTGCAGAGCCGTACCAGATGTAGAATTTGAGATATAATATAGATTAGTTACCATATATTAGGGTCACCTCGATTTTGGAGGGATAGCAAGTGCTTTTTAAGGTTAGATTTAATAATACCTGACGAGGCTGATAAGTCTGAATTTTTGGAAGACCCCGGGATTATTATCCCATCTACATTAGCATCACATATTTCGAATACATAGGGGATGAGATCATTCCATATTTTCGTAGAGGTGTACAAAAAGTTCTGTTGGGAGATATCTAACCTCAGTAATGGGACAATCAGACGAAGTTTTTCATTTCTAGGACAGAACTTGAAAAGATCTTTAATCGACTGGGGGACATCAAATTTAAGAATTTTGAATAGCTCCATAAATGTATGGTACATGTGCAGATTCTCCAGGTTCATAATTTTCTGCTCAGTGAATAGCGGTTTAGTGTGTTCAAGACAGTAGTTCTTTTTAGCCATATGTTCGTTATAAGTTCTTGAACGTGCACAGGTTAAGTAGTATTCTTTATGATCAAAATTGGGAATGTTACCAAATAGCAGTCGTATACATCGTTTTTGAATAGCAAAGATTTTATTCAGCTTATGTTTAGGGATCCCACCCCAGCAACTTATACAATAGCTAAGATGTGACATAAAAAGAGCATTGTATAGTTTCAAATATTCAGATTTGGGAATGAATTTGCAAATTCTCTTAATCGATACAATACTGGAGTTCAGCTTTAAAGATAAATGATTAAGATGTGGTTCCCAACATAGCTGTTCGTCTATTATCACCCCAAGAAATTTTGTACATTGAACTTTTTCTAGCTTTTTGCCATCTATTGAAATCGTTAGATTCCTGTTAAAGGGCCGTGTTCCATTTAACATATTGATAATAGTTTTGGTATATTATTACAAAATGAATGAGTTAACAAACATTCGCAAGATAATTTTTATGAAAATGTTTTATCGATCATAACATTAACATAGTTAAAACTCTTAAGTTTTCATAAAAATTGATTACAAAATGTGCATAAAATAAACATTAAACAAACAACATTTAACTATTGAATTCTGATTTCAACTTAGTAGAAACACAACCAAAATAATAAACTGCTTTCAATATGAAATAAATTAAAACTGTCTAGTAATAAATTAACATTTGACCAATAGTATTCATAAAATGCATGCTACCAAATTAGAAAGACGAGCCTAAAACATTAATTTGTACGACTAAAAACTAAAATTTTAAATAATAAGTCTATAAGTGAATAAATATTTAACGTGTAACTAACAAAATACACATTGCAGACTTATGACAACCCTAAGATTCACTCCTTGAAAGTAAGCAAGTGATTCGTTATTTGATCAATATTCGTCCAAGACGTCCTCAATCACAACCTCCCAGTTCACTTTAGGGACACATGTCTCCACTATGATAGTAGCATATGGCGAGTTAGGATAAGCTGGCTTCTCAACCCCAACTGGACCCCTCTTCAGTTTGCTGCAATATTTTCCAGCCTCAACTTCAGCCTCAAGCTCAAACTTCAGTTTGCTGCAAGATGGGTGATCTTTGTTGTTTTTCCTCTTCGATACTGGTTTGGCTGAGAAGGTACTTGTTTTTTGTTTTTTCCTTATGTGTGCCTCGGATACATTGTGTACTGTGATGCAAGTACAGTCTTTACTGTCCTTTACACAATTTTTTGAAGCTATGAAGTTCATCATATATAGCCATTCTTCCAGGACGTTTTGATAACTTATTTGGTCATCTTTGGAAAACCTTTGGTTGAATGAAATTACATGAACTTTTATTATTGTCTGTACATCACTCACAGAAAAGTTTTCTGATCTCAACACATCGTTTAGTTTAGCAATAAATTCATTTAAGGCTGATTCATATGTTTTTCTGCGTCTTTTTCGTGGAGCTTTGAATGTGTGAGATGAATTATTTCCGTTATTAACAACAAGATTGTTGTGGCCGACTTTTGCTCGATTTTTAGCCTTGATGTTTAGAAAATGTAGCCATTCTATCAATATGTTTTGGTAACTTATCTGTTTGTCGTTGGAAACCTTTTTGTTAAATGAAACCACATGCTTTTTGACGATTGCCTCCATGTCCCTGACAGAAATTATATCTGCTTTCAAAGTCACATTCAGATTTAGAATAAAATCCTTCATGGATGGCTCACGTTGTTTAGTTTCAGACAACTTTGAAGATAATGCGTTACCAGTCTTATTTTTAGCAGCTTTGGTATTAAAGAAATGCAACCACTCATCTAAAATATTTAGCTCACTAATGTGATCCTCGAGCAGACAATTTTTGTTGAACAAACTCACATGGTGCTGGATCAATTTTTCTGTGTCTCTGACAGAAAGCCTTTTCGTTTTCAAAACTTGGTTCAAAGAAGAAATAAACTCTTTGTGAGATGAACATTTTGGTGCAGTTTCCAACAGCTTCAAATAATATGATGATGTGTTATCTTTTCCTTGGAAGTTTTTCATTTCACAGGTATTCCAATGTTTTGCCATATATTTTCCAGTAACATAGGTGTTCCCACATGGACATCGAAAAGGCCGCCGTTTACTTCTTTCAACTAATTGGCTATTGATCGAATGAAGCCATTCATCAACAGCATTTCTGCCAAGAACTTGTCCACCTACACCTACATCTTTATTAAACTCAGCAACATAACTCTTGATTACACTTTCAACTGTGTTGATTGAATTTGGGTCAACATCTCTTAAAAATTCATCCAAAGACAGGGCAAACTGCTTATCGAAGTATTTTTCAGATATGTCTGCCGCAAATGTGTGCTTTCTTTTCTCTGCTGTACACCATTCTCTGACTGCTTGATACGAGAAAATGTAGTTAGGAAACCTTAAAGTAAACTCCCACTGAGCTTCATCAATACCATATACAGAACCATATTGACCACAATTAGATGCAATACTTGGAGGTACATATAATTTCTGTGTGGATATTGTGATGTTATTCTTGACACGTTTTCCCAGAAGTTCAGTTATCCTGCGCCAGCCTAATCTGCAACCTGGCTCTATTTTAGCAAATTGCAACTGAGCCTTATGTATTCCATGGAGTAGAGCATACTGTAGACACGCTATCTCAACTTTTGTCTTTCGCTGTGAGGATACATTCAATCTTTTATTGTTGGATTTTGAATTTCTATGATATTTAAATAGGTTAGCTTTATGTGTGCTGTTAGAAACACAGGAAGAAAGGAAGCCTAATGAATCTTGAGAAAGATTGTCCTCCTTTTGTGTGGGACATGCTGTTGTCAAAGTGGATTGAGATTCGCCTTTTTGATTTGCAGATTCATTGAAAGATGCCAAAGCCTGTGGGTGGTTCAACTGTACATGCTGCATATGATGCAGTTCGTTTATAAAACAAATGCTGCAATGACTACATTTAACTCTTTTCCTTAACCTTTGAGAAACCTTGAAAGAGGCTTTTTTTGGACGTCTATGCTGCCTTTTTAGATGAGATAAAAAAGCTGATTCAGTTTCACATTTTATTCCACATAGACTGCAGGAGTACTTAAGAAACTCAGAGTGGTTTGCACGCAGATGCTGTAAACGACACATAGCACTAGAAAACGTTAGATCACATATCTTGCACAGCCATCTCTTAGATGATTTGTCGTATAGACTGGTTACCCCCATGTTACACCCTGTAATGTAACTAGGCACCTGTTACTCCAGCCATAACCTAGAAATGTTTGTCGGTTTACATAATTAATGTAAGAAATATGAAGTTAATTAATTATTGATTGACACTGGCTTAAATAATTAAGTTTATCTAAATATTCAAATATTACACACAAGCAGATTTATTGACTAATTTTATATGTCAATTTTAGTTGGTTCATGAATTGGTAATTGCAGCTGTTATGTCTTATGTGATACTCTAATACTGGAAGGTATCAGTGATTACTATTCATGGTCTTAGTTTGAATATTATTATGTAGATCATACAATTCTGCAAATAAATGATAATTGGTGATAAAAATGAAAACACTTTATCGTAATACAATATAATAAGATTGTAAGCTACAATTTTTTGGAGTTAAGATGATTATACCGATACACATGTAGTAAAAAATATCTGGGAAAAATTGTTTGAAAAACTGGTATCAAACAAGCGTCCAGGACGACAAAATATTCGGTTACAATCACTTATCAGTCAATTTAATAGACACCAATCAGTCATCAGCATGATAATACTATCTTAAAAGAAAACTTGGTTTAATAAGGTATGAAAATATAATTTATTTAAAAGGCTAACCTGATAAAACATAAACTATTAGAATACATCACGCATATAATTTACTTTTGGCACAGCATTTGGCACTGTAGTGTTCTTTTAACTCATGAATCGTGTCAAATCTGGTAACACATCTAGGACAGAGGAACACAATGGAACTGTTTGTACCCAGCATAATTGATGATGGTATACGTGGTTTAATTCTCTCATATTTTACTGTTATCTGCCGTTCTCCACAGATGTGCTCTCTAAGTCCAGCATATGTCAAAAAGGTGTCATTACATTTGGTACAAAGAAGTGAGATTTCCTGACCATTATCAGTGTAATGAGAATTGTGGACCACTCGGTAATGCTCACGCAATCCTTCAATAGTTATGTGCTTAAAATTGCATTTCTTGCAGTTCTTGAAAGTGAGCAGCTCTGAATGATTATTTGCCTGATCACCATCCCTTACAATCTTATTGGATGTGATTTTTTCAGATAGCAGCCTTTTCTTATGGCAGGATTTTATATGCCTCTTATACCTAAACTCTTGAGGAGTCGAGTACTCACAATCAGAACACTTGAATGCATTAGAGTAAGTTTCTTCAACAACTGATGAGCCACTTTCTGAATCTGATATTGTTTCACACTCACTAGGAGTTGCTTTATTTCTGCAGGACCTCTGAGATCTCACTTGGGCTTCTGATTTGAAATCTGGTAACCAACACTTCGGCTTATGTTTAGCAAGTTCTTTGTCAGTTTTATAAACATTACCACACGCACAGTGAAGAATGGGAACTTTTTTCTTCTCTGCCATTTGATTGTTTATTACATGTAGCCATTCTTCGACAGCATTGTCCTCATTAATAGCCTTCTCATCATCATCAATTTCTTGGTTATATTTCTGCACCTCATTCTTTATGGTCTTTTCTGCCTCACTTATCGATAATGATTTTGTGTTGAGCACAGCTTCATTAAGTGATGAAACAAATTCTTCATCAAATGGCTTTTCCAAGTTACTGTCTTTTTCTAATTTCATTCTCTCAGCTTCACACCAATTTCTTACGCTAGCATAGGAGAAAATGTAGTTAGGATATTGTAAAGTAAACTCCCATTGTGCATCATCAATACCATAAGTAACACCAAACTTACCACAGTCAGACTTGATACCAGCTGGAATAGCAAGCTTAGAAAGTTGTACATCTTTTTTGCCACCCTTACGACCTCTCTTGTACAAATATGCTGCTTTCTTACCAGTCTTATCATGCTTATGCATACTCAATATTTCTGTCAAACGTCGCCAACCTATTCTACAGCCAGGTTCTAGTTGGGCATATCGAAGTTGAGCTTTATGTTTACCATGAACCATTGCATAGCGCATGCATGCCATTTCAACTCTAGCCCTCCATTGGGGAGACACTTTCGACACTGTCTTGCTGGCATTCTTCTGCATAGTGACAAGACTGGAATTCTTTGCAGTTGGAAGTTTGGCTGTGCCTTTAGAAAGAGTTGCAGCAGATATTGTTTCTGATTCCCTTTTTTTCTTTTTTGTGTGCTTGTTGCGAACATGCCTTGTTAAAGCATCCTGTGATTCACATTTTATGCCACACATAACACAAGGATATTGTAAGGATTCAGGATGGCAGTGGCGAACATGTTGTATACGAAGGAGTTCATTGATGAAGCGTGCATCACAAGTCCTGCATACACTTGGCAGAGGTTGACTGCCATCAGATTCCATTCATTGAATAGTTTCTGACATTAATCAAACACTTAGGATCATCTCTAAAACAGAACTTTATTTGAATTATAGCATCAATACCATCATTCTTGAATGTGAAAAAAAATCAGGTTCAATTGATAGACAATGCGGTGGATATTTGGTGCTTAATCATGCTAAGCACACAATTTTGATTTTTCAAAGTTATTCAAAGAAAAGGTCCCACAGACATTATTTCAGACCACTTACTCGCTTAGATCTTTATTAACAATTGGAAATGACGGCTGAAGGCAAATGATCTATATCTACAGGTCTGCAGTTATTTTAAGTAAGTCAAGTTTAGTAATGTGGCGATACAGTTACCAGTTCAAATAACTTAATTATGCGTAAAAGTAGAGTGCCAACTACAATTTGTACAAAAGATGCAGCAAAATTTGAAGTTACACAAGCTTCTGTACAATGGGATTTTCTAATAAATACACAACATTGCAATTAGAATTGGAATTAAACAGTAAATCTTCAATCATTAATAAGATTGATTCCTTATCTGAAATATTGTAAAAATGAATTGATCAATTGCAATAATTTGCCTTTAGAACCCACCCATCAATAGAATAAGATCAAATTGGTTACTATTATCAAATAAGTTTTCAAACAATATATATGGACACGTTCATTGAAGTTTGAGGATATTGGTAAATATTAGTGACCCTACTAAATGGCACGATGGTGTAAAATGTGTCACACTATGAAACTATATAAACCCTCTAACCCTAAGATAATCGTTTCATCCTCTAGATAAACTTTGTCGCATAACGATATCTTTATCAGACGATAAGATATCGCTTAAATGCGGCCGGCAGTGAGTTGTAAACTTTGTCACACTATAAAAACGTGACGGAGTTTATATGGACCCCTTGTTGCCGTGTTTGACCAAATTTTCGAATTTCCAATTCATAGAATAGCTTTATATGACTATTATCTACATATTTACTAGCGACTTTTTTCCTTAAATGGTAGCACCATGTAAACTCCGTCACACATTTAAGAAATTTATATGAGGGATGTTTATGACATCCTGACAAGAAATGCCGAATAGTCTAGCATTATTTTATGAGCTGAATGTGTTTGGAATTGTTCACATATTTCATTGTTATACGCAAATACAAATACAGAAGGCAGAAATAGGTAAATTTAGTCACATAAATTTGTATGATATCTCAACATGTGTAAAATTGAGTAAATATTAGTATACCAACTTAAACACCCTAGTTAGTTAGTTAGTAGTTAGTAGGTGACGGGAGCTTCTAAGCTTTCCGTAGTGCCCCCAACCTGCTTTCAGATATGGGGGTCATATATGCCTTCAGTTTCCACCCGGTGAACCTGGTCGGCGAGCCCCCAGGTTTCAACTGCGCATAATAATATAGCCGTGCGGGTAATAAATCCCGGGTTGGCTTTTCGTGTATTCGGTAGTGTGGCCGACCCCACTACTCTGCTGCGCGTTGCCGTGTTGGGGTGCTATCCCGGCCCGCGCGCCGGAGCTAGCCCCTCTCCCCGGCCTCCGCGCACTTCGGCTATTTCGCTATATAAGAATTGAAATCTGCGTTCGTTTTGCGTACTGTATGTTTGGCAAGATAATTATTTGTAAAGAATCAGAGTTGCCATGCCGCTCGCCCGAGCGTTTGGAGTTTTAGGAGCCCGTCCAGACACTTGCCTGGATTGCATCGCAATAGCTCCGTATCGACTCCTTACGCCCGAGTAAGTTGTTATATCCTATATACTCTGTAAGTTTCACGTTAGCGTCTGAGGTACCAGTCCAGACTATGTGTCTGGTTCGCATCGCGAAGGTCCCATAGTGACGCTTTGCGCTTAACTCAAGATGTGAGTACGATGAGATTGTAATTTTATTGTATGACTGCAACTTGGAGATGGGTGATGAGGATTAGAAAATGTATCGTTTCCAGTACCGAGAGGTTGGAACTAAGGGAGCCAGCCTGGACTCTTGTCCAGATTGCATCGCAATAGCCCCTTGTCGACCCTCGCTCTCGTTCCTGGTAACGGTGTGTGGTTACTATGGTAACAGTGTGTAGTTGCTATGGTAACAGTGTGTAGTTGCTATGGTAACAGTGTGTAGTAGCCATGGTAACAGTGTGTAGTTGCTATGGTAACCGTGTGTAGTTGCTATAGTATCAGTACGTAGTTACTATGGTAGCAGTGTTTAGTTGCTAGGTAGTGATTTGGAGTTGCTACGGTAACCGTGTGTGGTTGCTATGTTAAGAGTGTGTAGTTTCTATGGCAACATTGAATGGTTGCTGTGGTAACAATTTAGAGTTCTTCTTCGTTGACAAATTCTAGTAAAGTCGTTTCAAATGATTAACATCGTTTAAATGAATAACATCGTTTAAATGAATAACATCGTTTAAATGAATAAAACTGGATAAAAAGTTGAAACAATAGATAATAAAATTACACGCCATGCGCGCTACCAGAGTAGCTAGCGCAGCGCGCAAAACGTATTAAAGGATTGACAGCGAGATCATTAGCACATACTGTGCTCAAATGGCGTTCGCGCGTTACGTAAAATATAGGAAAAATTTAATATAGCAATTTCAATTCGAACCAAGATAACGCTGATTGGATGAATCAATCATTCATTGATAAGCCAGTGTGTGCTACACTCATATCGTTTTATCTACACACTAAGTAATCACTAATCTATAATGATGAAGTAGTGGCAGAAAAGTCATGCCTTGTAACATGATCAGGTTTGACAGCGGTGCATTTGATGGCTGAAGATTACTTCGGTGAGTCTGTTTGAGAGGTTGTGCTATTAGAGTGGAATTTACCAGGTGTAGGAGCTGCGCCTTGAGGGAAGAATGTAACCAGTTTTGGAAAACTGTCGCCCTGTCGTGTGGTAATATTTTAATTCTGTGAAAGCATGGTTCGAGGTAAAATTTATAAACAAGTAAGTAAAGTGAATCAATTTTACACGCTAAAACTTTATATAAACATGGGCTTTTAAGGAAAATAGATCATGTTAGGTCTGATATGTCTGGCCGGAGGCCTTTCTCTTTGATATGTGGTGTATGGCCATGGGCCGTTCTCTTTTGTATGATGTGGAGGATGAGAATTTCAATAGGTATATAATATTTCATGTTATATTACAAATGACGAGATCAATTTCTTGCCTGTAGACACGGATTAGTAGATGGGTTGGTCGAGGGGGGTATAATGCATGTCTGACTGCAAATCTCAGTTAGACAACTCTGATTTCAGGAACTTGGATAGAGTTGAGCTTTGTCTTAATAAGAGACATGATGTCTGATGTTGGCATTCTTGTAATCTGTGCGAATGTCTAGGGAGACATGAGCTGTATCAATCAGACTTATCCTTGGTTCAGAGCAGTATCTGTTGTCCTGCATTGTGGCTGAGTAGCTGTCTGTCTGTTTGGCTTTGATTTTCGTAGATATTTAAGCCTGTTCCTGGGAATCTAGGGTTGTTAGTATACACACAAGGGGGTGGAACGAAAGTTAGTTTATAATAATAGTTTAGCAGCCAATACGGAGGCAAGTAACGATCGAGAAAACAAGATGTGTTCTAAACGCCGTCAAAAACCGAAAGATGATGCAAAAAGTGTGTCTAGTCAACAAACAGAAGGACTGTAACTGAGACCCTGGTTCTATGAATGCTGACGATCTACAATATGCAGTAGAGTGAGACAGAATACAAATGAAAGAACAGAACAATAGAATTATAACAAGAAACTTAGCCTGTAGAGTAAAACGGCGGAGAATTCCAGCACTCATATCAGAGAGTTTCCCCATTTCTGTTGGTGCTGACTTCCCAGAGAAGCAGCAGAGTCGTACTTTATCAGAGTTGCTTGTACCAGAGCGGTTGATATCAGTCTTTGTTAAGTTGAGGGGCTACTGATGATTTCTTGCTTCTATCCTGCTTCTGTTAGTTTATAATTTTAGTTTAGCCTGGAAGCTAAGAGGGGATTAGTAAACACGCAGTAGTATGGTACACTGCTGCCAGCTGACTCACCAGCAACAATGCATGTCCAAAGGGGAGGCAGAGGGAGAGATATCACCGACAACCTGGGTGACAGGCCACCGACAGTGCACCCACCTCTGTAGGTCTGAGGGCGACAGGTCAAGAACCAGGTGAGACTAGTAATCAAACAGAAAAGGGACCGAACTGCTAAGGTGATTGAGTGAGTGAGATGCTGCATTGCTACTGGCTGACTCGCCAGCAACAATGCAAGTCCAAGAAGAAAAAAGGAGAGACACTGTCCGTTATCTGGGTGAGCCACCACCGACAGTGCTCCCACTTCTGTGGGGCTGAGGGTGTTGGCTCCAAGAACCAGCCGTGAGCGAACAGCGCCTGTCCCCCTCTATGGTTAACTTGAGAGTAACAGGACTGTGCCATTCTCCAGGCCAATCCGTTCTGTAACCAGCTGACCCAGCACCACCTCTAATGGAAGATGTGGTTCGGATTGGACTTCGCTAGGATTTGTCAGTTTTTCTGTAGACACTAATGCTCCCTCGAGGAAAGACATGAGCCCCGGCGAAACTGACCAAAAACATGGCAGGGATTCTCACCCTACTCACCCTATATTACGTACTATGGATCAATTAACAATATTTCAACCATACGCCGGTTATATAAATTATTATATGACAGTGATATGTTAACATTGAATAAATTTCAACACCTGAACAAGGTAAAAATTTGTAAATTTCGTCACAAAAAAAATTATAACTTTATTTGCTCCGTGTTGGCAAAATAACTAATTTATCGACATAGTGATGGTGATAAAGTAACATTATATACTAATTGAGGTATGATTCTTCAAAATAGGGGCAAGAAATGTAAATTTCGTCACATCAGCCATTGCATTAGTTAGATAGATTTTCTTTAATATCAACTGCCCTTATTATAGTTGGAATGGATTTATACAGGAAATATAGAAACCCATGCCCATTTTTCATCACATTGAAATTATACTGTTGGGGCAGGAAAAGTAAATTTCGTCACATTTCGGTAAATTAGTGATATCAAACTC